TTAAGAATATATTCCACACGCCGATAATTTAATACCCTTGTAGACCTGTGACTTACGAAAAGTGAAGCTCGTCAATGAATAATGAAAATAGCTTGGAAAACGGAATATTTTGCTATATAAAACTTATCTTATGTGCGATTCTGCACATAGTACTATAAAATAGTGCGACATTGATAAGATTTGGCTCACATGTAAGCATCAGAGTTTACCCAATAAATGCCGAGCTTGGTCTTGATAAACAAAAAAGCTACTCATACAATAACTTAATTTTCCACCGATCGTTGCAATAGCAGCCATATGCTATTCTAGCCCGATGTTGATAAGCTTGTGCAAATATATGAGAAACATTTAGAAACCAATAAATGTTGAGCTGGATCGCAATATCTTGAAAATATCTGGAAAACTTTTTTCTTTTCCATAAAATAATCTACATTTTGAGCGATCGTTTCTAACATATGTACTGCCTGCAACACATGGACGGGCCTATGCAAAATTTCAAGAAAATAGCTTAGAAACTGACAGACTAGTTCCCATAGAAACAGACGGATATGGATATGGATATATCAACTGGGCTGTAGATGCTGAACTAAAACATATACACCATGGAGTTGGAGATGTCTCCTTCTATGCGCCACAGATTTCATGACTGGCTTCTATTCATGAAAGAATTCACAAAAATTTACTTGTCTTTTTAATTAAAAAAAAAAACTAAATAAAGTAAATAAAATCTGTTTAGAATTGAACAACGAAAACTCACCTGTTAAAATTGTTGTTGGATTTATTCACTTATGTGTATTTTTCAGTAATTGTTGACGCTAATCGAATTAACGAATTTTGCGTTTAATTATAAATTCTTTGGTTTAGTTTACTAATTGGTTTTGGTTTACTGTTAATTGTTTTCGGTTTTATCCCGTTTGATAATTTGGGCGCCAAAGTACAGTCAGAAATCACGCACTTACACACATATATGCATTTGGTCACACTGACAATCGTTGCCTCTGTCTTTCACTCTCTGTCTGTCTCTGTCTCTCTCACTCTCTTTCTCTCTCTCTCTCTCTCTCTTTGTAACAAAAGCACTGTGCCTTTTTGGGTGCGTGTTTATTATGACGTTTGTTGCGGTTCGGCGGCGTCTGCCGATTGCCTCTGGGGCTGGTAGTTAATGCAGTTTGTTTGTTTGACGACGTTTATTAGATTGAGCGAGGTGTAGTGTGAGCATGCACAGGCGTTGGGCAGACTGGATATTTGGCTGTGTGGCCAGACTCCAATTTGGTTGGCGGTTTAACGGTTGTTTTTGGTTTGTTGGTGATGTGTGAAGCGCACAGAGGACATACACAACTTGACTGAGCGAAACTGCACAAATAACTGAATTGAAATTTCGCCGCACCAAACACTGTGTAAGGGCAAATTGTAGGAGAGCGCATCTGTGTGGGCGAGCCAGGAGGAGGGGCAGCGGGGCGGCATTTAGGGGTTATGCAGCAACAATTTTGCCTATAGCTTATTTTCGGCAGCGCACACGCGAAAAACAGCAAAACACGAAATTTCTTACAGCCGACAAATGCACTCGAGTGCATTTTAATTGATTTTTTTCCTCATGCACATTTGCAAGAGCGTGCGAGCGAGAGAGCGAAAGAGACAGAGAGAGAGAGAGAGAGAGAGGGACGAAAAGAAAGAGAGCGAGAGCGTAATCTGTGTGTCTTACTCGTTTGTTATACGCGGCGTATGCGTAACATTTACAGTTGCATTTCGCACGCACCTTATTTTGAGTGAGTATTTCTTTGGTTTTGAGTGAGTTTTTTAACCATTTGCGATCTCCTCAACGCCCGTTCTAGGTCAATTAATGTTGTCCGTCTCATATTTTTCAAGTTTTAATTACCCTTTTTATTTACAATTTCAACAGCCGGGCAAAGCGAACAAAACCAAAAAAAAAAAAAAAAAAAAAAATGAATAAACTTGTTGTGGCAACACATTTTTAATTAATTACATGCAAAAATCCAAACCAAAATGAGTAGTCGACGCTTGAGTGTCGAGCTGGTCAAACAATTAGCATTTTTTTTGCCAGTTTAATGAAGTTCCTGAAGGATGCGCCTTGTTGCCCGAGTTCCTCTGTTGCCATATAGAAAAACTTTTTAATATGTAAAGTGTTTTTTAAGGGCGTGCAATGTTTGAAAGGTGAGCATCTCGGCAGGCAGAAATGAGTAAAAAACACAAACTGAAATTTCCATTCAAATAGATAGAATTTGTGTCAGCTTTTGGCGGCTCACGTAGATTCTTTGGTGCTTCAGTATGGAGCTACTTCAGACTTCAAATGTACAATAACTTTGTCAAACACTGTCAGTTCAATTATTATCATTTTAATTTGTTCCATTAACCTGTACTTCTCTCTGTTTGAGACCTCTTGCTCCATATTCTGATGGAACGTGTAACGTCTCTCAGTATCTCTCTCGATCTCTCAGTCTGTATCTTGCTCTCCCCCTATCTCATTCAATTACTATCTTTCACCCTCTGTGTCTTAATTGTCGCCTTTCATATCTCTTATATTTTTTTTAATATTTGAAGAAGGCGGATTTAAAACTATTATATATATTTAATCGCTCGATCTATAAGCCATAAAAAGAGAAGTTTTTATTCTTACAAGCTCTCTGTCACTTACTATCTTTATATTTCTCTCGCACTCTCTTTCTGTCTCTGTCGCTCTATCCCTTTCTCTGTCTCTCTCTTTCTCAATAAAAAAAATCGACCTTCTATTCGATTCTCATACACTCAAGTTAGGTTTGAAGAGAACGATTTGGCTAGTGTCGAAACCAAACAAACAAATTAATTAATTTATTAAATACAATACAGATTAATACATGGTTTTCTCTAGTAGAAAATTACAATTGAGTTGAGACATGCGCAAAGCAACAGCAACTCAAAGGAAACTCACTCAAAATCCGCAGCGACAAGAACATGCAATAAAGCACCTGAAGCCAAGTAATGCAATCGCAAACAGGCAAGCCGAAAAAGAAGGTACAAAAAAAAATACAAATAAAAAACGTCAGCTGCACACAATTCAACCTAAGGTACAAAATGGCATCGGAGTAATATGCTAACGACCAACAACAAACAGAAAATGGCAGAAGGTAAATGATATAAAATTGTTCGCCTAAGATTATGTTTGCAATTGCTGAATAGTGTAATTGCACAAAGCTCAAAATAAGCTGGACTTAAAAAATTGTGAATATATTTTAAATTTCTCTCTTTGTAGATATAAGTTTAAAAATATTGAGAAGATATTTTGAGGATTAAACTAAATAATATATATTTTAAGTCTACCTTATGGAAATACATTTGAAAAGGACTTCAGGCACGCTAAAGGTAAAAATGCCGGTAAAACTAATAGTCAATACAGTCAGAGGAGAAAGCCAAAGTTCCAACACGCAACAAAATTGATGATAATCTAGGGCAAATGACTGTGCAAATTGGCTTTGTAATAGATAGCAATTACAAGACCAATATTTTTAAATGGTTAGGTACCGGGTTCGCGGGCAATTTTATGAAATAGGAAATAGATTTATAAATATAATTCGGATTGCAAATATAAAATCTTGAGATGTTAGCCACGTTGTAAGACACTGAGGTTTTCCTTTTTTTTTTTAATAAATATCAATACCTAAAATCAACTATAAATTACATTTCTATTAATTAAAGTAGCTGAGTGCTGTAATCTAATTTGCTTGAACGTAACGAACTTAAGCATTTCCCAAAATAGTTAAATAGAAGTACCCTTGTATAATTATCTTTTCATTATCAGAACTATGTCATTAATTTTATGACACAACCAATCAAAATTAACCGAGGTAGCAAATAATAATTATGCACAAATATTACTTTCAAACATGTGCGACGATCGAACTCAGACAATTCAAATAAAATCCTTCACAATGAACTTTTATTGCGTTGAAAACGCCGAGAAAATCATTTGTAATTATATACTAAATGCCCATAGTGTGGGTAAGTCATAATTGCCCACAACTGACCTCATTTGAAGGGCGTTGATGAGCATTGACCACTCGGACCATTGAACCTCAAAGAGTTGGAAATATGAAAAAAAAAAAAAAAAAAACCACAAAAAAACCACGACAGTTTATATTTTTAATGTCATGTCATCAAATTTTAAGGTTAATGACTGTGTTTATGCATGAAACCAGAAGTTGATTCTGGTGAATCCCTGACAAGAAAAAAATACTATTTTAAATGCCTACAAAGTAAACAGCACAGTTCTGAGTCATATGATTATATACTTATTTAAGTATATTAGTGAATAATTCATTCCACAGAAGATTTATTTAGATTTTTTTATATGTTATGATGTGAACAAAACTCTTCTAAATCATATGATCATATACCTATTGTTTAACAGTATATGTGTTATACCAAGTTCTATATTTGTTCTACAAATATTATATTATTTATGAATATAATTTAATACAGTTTTCCCCATTTTCGATTGAACATAACGCAATCAAACAATCAATCAATCATTCAATTTATAATGCAAAATTAAAATTTGTATACTTTTTTAGTCAGTTTACAAAATTAAAATGTTATATAATTTTAATATCTGAAAAACTACTTACGACAATTAGGAAAGACTCTGCCCCATAATATTGTTACTTTTCTCCATTAACAGGGTATCCTCGTATTCAGCACTCCTTTCCAAAACAATTCATGACATTTAAATTATTTGCATGCATTCCGATTTCATTTTGTTTCTCTTTTTTTTTGTTGTGTCCATCAAATTATAATAATCTGATGAAAATGTAATGAAGGTGTTTACATGTGTAAAAATTGCGCATACGCAATGTTGTGCACGCTCCAATGAACAAACAATTCGTAAGCCAAATAAAAAAATAAAAACAAAAAAACAACGATGATGAGCAATTGATGGGCAATGGTGAACGATTAGGCGCCATTAAAAATCGTTTCATAGCCAAAATTATGTTTATTATATTTATGGCGTATATAAAAGCAAATGCTCTGAATTTTCCAACCAGTGTTCACGAGAATATCAGTGGGATTCAACGCGAGAAATAGTTTTGGAAATATGTCATACCAACAGATAACCGCAGGTCGCAGTTTTTGGCTATACTTGGTTTTGGCAGCTGCAATGCTGCAGAGTCAGCTGGTAAAATCTCAATACAGTGGCTTTCCCTACTATGGTGGAGGAGTCGCAACTGCAGGCTCTGCATATGGGGGCGGCATGTTGGGTAATGGATATGGTTATGGATACGGCTATCCACAGTACTATTCATACCCTGGCTACGGCTACACATATCCCAGCTACGGGTACGGTAGCGGAGTCGGAAGTGGGTTCGGAGGCGGAGCCGGAGGCTATGGTTACCCAAGCTATGGATACCCTGGCTATGGTTATGGTTATCCTTATGCGGGCACGAGTAAGTAGAACTAAACTGAAGTCGGCTAGACTCTGCGTATGCATTGTATATATATGTATTAGTGTTTTGGACTTGTTTTCTATTATAGACACTGCCTTTGCGAGCAGCAGCGGAGGATTCGCAAGCGCAAGTGTGGGTAGCGGCGGCGGTTACTACGGTTAACTAAGGCACTGAACAAATACTTAAGCTAATTAGTCACGATGTGTACATATTGATTAAGTATCGTAATTAAGTTGATTGTGTTGTAGTATTAAATTCATTTATTTTATATAAAATATAAGCAACACTATGATTTTTGGTAACTTAAAAAAAACCGAAGAACTTACTCGGACGAACAACTTTTTCCCGCCAAAAAAAATATGAATCCGATAACAAATGGCAGTGCTGCAAAATGTATTACCAAGTGTTGGACATATTTTGCCAATACATCGATATATTTCTGAGTGTATTCTCTTATTTCATTGAGAAATTTCCAAGCTTAAGGTGATAAATGAAGTGAAAAGTGGCAATTTTTCCTGAATCTTAAGATATCTTTAGGAGCAAGTTCAAATATATCGAATATGCATCAATATCGCACAACTATCGATATTCGTGACGGCAGCTTGTTGCCGGGAACTTTCAATTTTCAACCATTAAGTTTTTACACAGTAAAGTTACTCTCCGACGCTAAAATCGATTTATCGTAGAAATCTGGTTTTTGTCGTTCCTATTTCGGTAACGTAACATAAACGTTAATCCTAAATAAATGGTCAAATTTATACACATTTATGCAATCTAGAGAATAGATACTAGTGCCAAAACTATCGATTGGTATCAGCTGTTCAAAGAAATTAAAATTTAAAAATGAGCACACATAAACACACACACAAACACACCATTCTAACGGATGGATACATAGGTAGGTAGGTAGTCTCGTAAAGGCCAAACAAATACAGACTTCGCGTGCCTTTTGTTCACACCGTTCGCAAAAGCACACAAAGTAAGCGATAATTGATTGTTTTTAAAATTGCAACAAACTTTAAAATAAATAACAATAAAATTTAAGTGTCAGTGCCAAATGGAATATCTAGCGTACATATGCATAAAAAGTGAATGTCAGTGCAAAAACATAACATTGCGTAATGGGGCCACATACAACAAAAACAAATGCATTCAAATTGCGGTTGTGTTAGCGTATATGCATGTATGTGTGTGATGTCTGTCTACTGTGACTGTATATCTAGCTTGCAACTGAGCACCGTTTCAGTTGTGCGCATGTTTTAGTTGGCCTCAAAAAATTGTGACCGTTTGTGACAGCACATACACACAAACATATGTATGTATGTATGTATATTAAACATGCACTTAAGTTGCCGACAGTTCGTTGCTTAAAATCAATTAGTATAAACTACATAAGAAAAATATATAGTTAAGCCCATAAATGTGTGTATCGGGCATACATCTACCAGATTCTTTACAACAAAAACAATGGAAAGTGCTGTCTTCGTATTTTTATAGACACTTCTGGGGTGCTTTTATAGGCTCTCTCACTCTCATTTTCGTTCTCTGTCACACGCTCGGCTTACCCTCGTATTAAATTTAAAAGCAACAACAAGAACTCTCAGCGCACCACACTGTTCTCCTACCCACCCCTTCTAGTGGACAAGTTTCGGCAATTGGAAATTTCCACAGCCGCAACACTGAAAAAACAGCTGATGCTTGTCAAAAATTGGCGCTACCTTAGTATTTGTGCGCACACATATTTGCAAATACTCGTGTGTGTGTATGTGTATCTCAAAAGCTTTAAAAGAAATTCGACGTTTACACAACACTTGCCCAGTTGGCATTGCTTTCGCACGAGACATTGTAATTATACGTAAATGCAAATTTGATTTGTTTTGGTATTTTATTATCTTTAACGTTGAAAGTGGGTGTGTCTCACGTTTGGCTGCTTATCAAGTGTAATCACGCGTCGTTTCGCCTGCTGCCAGCGTCAGACCCCCAATGAACATTTCAAGGTTGCTGATAAACGGTGCTGTTCTATAAATGGAATTAATGAAACTTTTTGTTTGTGTACTATTCTGTTATCTCACAGAGCAACAACATTTTGGTTTTTATATAACAAAGTGACAAGTTAGACAAAACCCCGGACGAACCTAAGCCATTCCCAGCTACAAGATGTTGCGATTCATGCGTAATCTGTCCGCCAGTTCTGCTGTACCACAAACCGCCGTTAGAAGGTGTAATTATATCTATGTTTTAAGTAACCTTAATACTAAAATTTCCCTGCCTTTACGCAGCCTGGGCAGCGTCGTCTTGCAACCAAAACTGAAAGATTTCACTATTTCCAACGAGCCAATCTTAACTTATCGCAAGGACTCAGCGGAGCGCGTGGCACTAAAGCAGGCGCTGGAGACCACCGCCGCAACATGTGAGGAGGTGCCCATTGTTATTGGCGGCAAGGAGTACAAAACGGATAAGGTGATGCATCAGGTGATGCCGCATAACCACGCACACAAGCTGGCGAAGTTCTACTACGCTGACAAGAAGCTCTTGGAGCAGGCTATCAAAACGGCAGTGGAAGCCCAGGTCAAATGGGATCGTGTTCCGCTACCTGAGCGCCTAGCGATTTGGGAGCATGCGGCGGATTTAATGGCGGGCAAATATCGTCAGGCCTTGAATGCAGCAACCATGTTGGGACAGGCCAAAACAGTCATACAAGCGGAAATCGACGCGGCATGCGAGCTTATCGATTTTATACGGTGAGAACATGGATTTTTATAAATTTTGTCGAAATTTTTTTCTGTTTTAAGAAAGGTTGTCCTATCTATTTTCGTGTCTACAATTAATTATTCCTTACATAAATCTTCTTAATATATATGTATGTGAATAACCTTGTTTTTGTTGACTCCACAGAATTCACGCCTTTTTTCTTAAGGAGTGCGTCAAGTATCAACCCATTAGCGAGGACTTGAAGGTCACGAAGAACTCGTTACGTTATCGTGGCATTGATGGTTTTATAGCCGCAGTCAGTCCATTCAACTTTACCGCCATTGGCGGCAACTTGGCCTACACGCCCGCATTGATGGTATATTCTTGAATATTCTTTCAACGACTTGTTTCATTGTCTATTTTCTATTTCTCTGTGCTGCAGGGCAACGCTGTGCTGTGGAAGCCCTCGGACACGGCTCTGTTGTCCAATTGGCGTATATTCAATATTATGCGCGAAGCTGGCGTGCCCGATGGGGTGGTCAACTTTGTGCCTGCGGATGGGCCAGTCTTTGGGGATACTATAACCGCCTCACCCCACCTTGCGGGTATCAATTTCACCGGCTCAGTGCCGTAAGTATTCTTTTTGTGTGATACATTTTATTGATTTTCATAACTGAAATCGTTTCAATACACAGCACATTCAATCGACTGTGGAAGCAGGTCGGTGACAACCTCGATAAATATGTTAACTTTCCGCGCCTTATTGGCGAATGTGGTGGCAAAAATTTCCACTTTGTGCACTCGTCAGCAGATGTGCAGTCGGTGGTTACATCCACATTACGATCAGCCTTCGAGTATAGCGGTCAGAAGTGTTCCGCCTGTTCGCGCATGTATGTGCCGGAGTCATTATGGCCGGATGTAAGCATTTGGGGTATAATTTCAATAAATGTTCGGTATAATATTGATTTTATTTTTGCCTGCAGATCAAATCGGGACTGTTGTGCGAAGTGAAGAAACTCAAGATCGATGATGTGCAGGACATGAGCACCTTCACATCGGCTGTTATTGATGACAAAGCATTTAAACGCATTACGGGCTACATTGAGCATGCCAAAAAGAGTCCTAATTTGGAGATCCTTGCTGGTGGCACTTATTCCGACGCCAAGGGCTACTTTATCGATCCAACCATAGTGCAAACCAAGGATCCGAAGGATCGCATTATGACTGAGGAAATCTTTGGACCCCTGATTACTATTTATGTATATAAGGATGCCGATTTGTATGATACCATGAAACTGGTGCATACCTCAACGCAATTTGCACTAACCGGCGCTGTGTTTGGACAGGACGAGTAAGTGTCAACAATCCACAAACACCTAACTGATCAATCTAAACATATATACAATTACGATTTGTAGAAGCTTTATCAACTGTGCTTTGGAGGAATTCAAAATGTCGGCTGGAAATTTCTACATCAATGACAAGTCCACTGGATCCGTAGTGGGTCAACAGCCATTTGGCGGCGGCCGCAAGTCGGGCACCAATGACAAAGCAGGCGGACCGCATTATATACTTCGCTGGACGTCGCCTCAGTCTATTAAAGAGACATTTGTGCCTCTGCGTGACATAAATTATCCGTACATGTCCGATTAAGATAGAAGAGAGCAAATTAGAAAACGACAGGAATCTCATTTAAACTACTAACTCATTTATAAATATAAAGGGAATGTATATGTATTTTGTTGAACTATTTTTAACACGTACCTTTCTCCCTAACAGCCCCTAGTTAACCGACACATTTGTATGTAGTTAAACGATATATCAAATCTCTGCTGTATTTTTCTCGCCTCGAACAACCAAATGCCGAAAGATGTAAAATTGATATGCTGATTACATTTAAAACTCACACACAGAAACCTAATGTAACTCGAATTATAAAATATGTTTTTAATTACAAAGTAAAGTTTTTGAACCGATTGTGATTATTTAATTATATAATTTCATAATTATTTGATTTGAATCGGCTTTGTTGTCATACCCAACGCAATAAAGTTACACGTAGTTACTATTGCTTATATACCTATATATACCGCTTAATGTATATATAGCAAAGTATGCATACACTATACATACAAGCAAACTACTTGACAATACCACTTGAATACTAAATGTGAACAAACAAATATGAAAAATACAAAGTTACATAAACACAAAATTGAAGTTCATTCAAATAAATATATAAATTCAAAATTATTGTAAAATTTTTAATTGCATTACCCGAAGGTGAGTGCAATTGAAGCAACCGATTTTAAGCTTCTTAATAGTGTGAGTTTATTTAAAATTAAGCTGTGTATAGGATTATTGTCGTCAATATTTAAGTTAGCAAAGAATGTCGAACCCATTCTAGCGATTCATGAGGCCTGGTTTCCACACTTATGAAACCAGATTTTGAAGATTTGAAATTCACTTGTTACAATTATTTGGATGCATGGTAATTTATACTTGAATTTCGGTTCGGCTGCCAGCTGCTCGGATTTTAACACCTCGCATTTACCCGAATGTTTTTGTTGTCGGCAATCCACTTGGAGACTTGCAAGATGAGTTCCATATATGAAGCGTGTTCCTTTTTTTTTTTTTTTGTTGTTTTGCTCAGCTTAGTTGTAGCAGGCGTTCAATTTATTAGTTAAAGCATATTTAAGTTGCATGAGAAATTCAACAATTAGTTTTATAAAATAACACAATGGCTGCTCCACACCATCCACGTTCGCCTTTTACTCCCTGCTGCACATCGATTGCTACACAAACGGATAGCTTGCCGGATCTGTTCGAATTGTTATATTGCGACGATAAAATGGTCTGGGAGACATCGTACAATGGAGCTGCTGAATATACACCTACCCCAAAGGTTAATAACCAGTCCGTTAGTACTTTCCCATTGAAATATGGTAATTGCATCAAATTTGATTAATATTCATTTGTTTTTTAGAGGTGTAGCAGGTGTCTTCTTTTTGTCAAAGAAGCAGATAAGTTGGCCAAAGCTCCAAGCACCACCAGCGAATTTAATCCATTGAATCCCATGAAAACAGCATCACGACTCGCCAACAAATCTCAAATTATACAGTACTATCAAGTAATTATAATTGTGGCTATAGTCACTCTTGTTGTTAATTGGATTGCAGACGCATTGTAAATACTCCACCCACAATTGTTGTTTCATACGTTTATTACACATAATTCACGTTTTCACTCTATCAACTAAATTTGTAGTTGTTTTTAGCTTTTGATTTACAAGCATAAGTTTTATGTAGCATAGTAACTTATTATAATAATTAAGTTTTATGCGTTCTTTTTTTTTATTATTATTATTTTATTTTTATGCACCGATGTTCAGTAAAGCAAACAAGAATCGAATTTACAAAGTAAAAGAAAAAAATTTTGCAGCGAAATTCAATTGGAACATGAAACATAGTTTTTATAAAGATTTACTGAACACCGATTCATAAGATAGTCAAGTCAAGTAGAAGCGATAATAAACATAATATTGAAAACTTGACGATGGGTTATATGAACCAAGTTGGTTTGGCTTTTTACAAACTAAATATTTTTAAATTTATGTATTAAAATATGCATATGTTATGTGGTAACATAAATCTAGTCAAATTTGATTGAATTGACGCCCGTGTCAATTTGACCGCCCCGATAGCTGCCGCGCTTCTTTTTGGTCTTTTCATGTTTGAAGGATTTGCCGCGCGTGAATTTTAGATCCTTATTGGCGCGCTCTCCCCAAGAACCGGCAGCATTTTTCTATTTTGTTTTTTAATATATATATAAATATATATATTATATAAAAATTTGTATTATTATTTGTATATAACATGTTGTTTTGCGAGTGTTTGTGTGTGCTTGTGTGTGTATGTTGTAGACTCCATTCAACACCAAATCCAGAAATTACATTCTATAATAATGGTATTGAAATATTGTCAAAAATATTGGAACGCTATTCCACATTATTTGTATCCTATTATGGGCTGGTTTTCTGGCGTCGTGTGCTTTGTAAATGCCTTAGCTAATTTAGATATTAATTATCAAAAGTAATTTTCTTATTTTGTTTTGACGCCGAATCGAAAGATTTATTGCCAAATCCACCGCCGCGTCCGCCGCCACCACGTCCAAAGCCACCGCGTCCACCACGGTCGCCGCCACCACGTCCGAATCCACCGCGTCCACCACGGTCGCCGCCACCGCGTCCGAATCCGCCGCGACCACCACGATCGCCGCCGCCGCCACGACCGAAACCACCACGACCGCCACCACCACCGCGTCCACCGCGCTGTCCATCAAAGGACTTTCGCTCGAAGCCGCCAAAGCTCTTGCGCTCGCCGCCTTCCTCGCCGTTTTGCTTATTGCTGTCCCACTTGCTACGATCCGGACGGCCGGCAAAGCCAGAGCCTCCGCGTCCACGTGGTCCATTACTAAACTTCTTGAAGCCACCGCCGTCCTAGAATAGATCGCCACAAAATGGTTAAACACAAATTAGCCAAGCCCTGCAGCAAATGGCAAATGCAAATACAAATTCAGATAAGGAAAAGGCAAGTGCCACAAAATGATTTGAGTTTGGAAGGTGCTTTTGCTAATTTGTGTGTAACCCCCTGCCACTGCCTAACTAAAACCTACCCGTCCACACAACGGGCGGCTGTCTATATGTTTGTGTCCCACATACACACACACACACACACACAGCACCAACAAACTGCGCGCCACACTCAAATGCATTTGTGGCACTTACCTTTGCCTCAAAGGACATGTCCTGAACGCGTGAATCCACAAGAACCTCCTCGGTCCGCACACGCCGGAAAGGCGATCTACGACGTCCCCCACTGCTGTTGTTCAACTGTTTGTTGTTGCTGCTGTTGTTGTTGTTGTTAGCATTGTGGGGCGTGGAGGTGAAACCATTGTGCTGCTGTGTGTTTGCCAAATAGTTAACATGGTTAATTGAATGCCAAATACGTTTAAAGATTGGGCGCAGACAGTGTCCTTTTAGTATTCCAATCGGCAGTCACTCAAGGAATTAAATCCGTATAAATATATAAAAATGCTTGTCCGCACGATTGACTAATCACCAAATTGTATCCTCAACCTTTGGGGTTGTTTAGATCACCTTCAATTGTCATTATTCCCGTTTGATCCGACTGATCCTTAAATTCAGATGGAACTTGCTCCTCCTCATGTCCAAGCGATCGTTGCATATCGAACGCGAAGTTAAAAAAATAAAACCTGTCTAGAGTATGCCTATCTACGTAGGGCAAAGAGAGAGAGAGAAGACAACGAACTAACAATGATCCGAGGATCAGACTTGAAATCATTATGAGAGGCCAGAAATAACTTAATTTAGTCAAAAACTATTAAATTTTCTAAATTCGAAACTTATCTCATTGACTTCAATCCCATTTATAGGTGAGCACTCACTGCTAATTGCTGATGTGGTGAAACAATTTCGAATGAGTGTTAGAGTCCAGGGACTCACTCATACAGTAGCATAAGATTTATTATATTTTAGTAAGAGACCCGTTGCTCAAATCGGAATCACCAAAAACTCAAATATTTGCATTGTTCTGCCCATTCCCTTAGATGTTTGCTAACTCACCTGTTGTTCGCCCGATTTGACAAAATTGTTGTACTTTTTGTTGGGTGTTGCCTCATCCGCATCACCGCCGCTGAACTTGCGCTTCTTGCCGGCCCCATTGGCCGCTGGCTGTTGCTTATTGGGCTTCACCTCGCCCGATTCTTCGCTGTCGCTGTCGCTATCACTGCTCTCCTGTTTTTTGGCCGGTGCAGGTTTTTTCTTAGCTGCCGGCTCATCGTCTTCGGAAGAGGAGCTATCGGAACTGTCATTCTTTTTGGCCGCCGGCTTTGCAACTGGCTTGGCTGCTGGTTTGGCTGGCTCCTCGTCATCGGAATCATCTTCGGATGAAGATTCCTCCTTTTTAGCAGGTGCAGCGCTCTTCTTGACAGCGGGCTTGACTGCAGCTTTTTCATCTTCTGAGCTACTGTCCTCGGATGAGTCCTCAGAATCAGCCTTGGCCGCGGGTTTTTTAGCTGGCGTCACGGGAGCCTTTACTGCCGCTTTCTTGGGCGCTGCTTCTTCGTCTGAAGAGGATTCAGAGCTAGATTCTGCTGCTTTCTTGGCCGGCGCTGCCTTAATGGGTGAAGCCTTTGGCGGTTCCTCCTCATCGGAAGACTCATCACTGCTGGACGCGGCTGCCTTCTTGGCAGGAGTTGGCTTTACCGGTGTCTTAGCAGACGCTGCTGGTTTCTTTTGCTCCTCTTCAGAGTCACTGCTTTCGCTACTGCTGGATGCAGCTTTTTTAGCTACCGGCTTAGCAGGTGCTGCTGGTGCCTTCTTTTGCGGTTCTCCTTCACTTGAACTGTCTTCCTCGCTGCTAGATTCGGCTGCATTCTTAATCGTGGGCTTGGCAGCTGGCTTAACGGCAGTAGCGCTCTTAGCGGGCTCATCATCGGAGGAGTCATCACTGCTGGAGGATGCAGCGGCCTTCTTGGGCTGAGCTGCCTTTCCTGTCGGCTTTGCTGGAGCAGCCGCTGGTTTCGTCTGTTTCTTCTTCTCTTCTTCCTCCTCATCAGAGTCACTGCCTTCGCTGCTGGTATATGTGGGCTTGGGCGTCTCAGCCGCCGTTTTCTTTGCAACAGCAGGAGCTGGTTTTTTGGCCGGCTCCTCGTCGCTAGAACTGTCCCCACTGCTTGAAGATGCAGCCGCCTTCTTTGCAGGCACAGCCTTCACTGGTGACTTTTTGACAGGCTGCTCTTCCTCAGAGTCTTCTTCGCTGCTAGAGGAGGCAGCATTTTTAGCAGAATTACCATTTGTGTTTCCGTTGGCTGTCGGCTTTTTGACCTCGACTTCATCTTCGTCGCTGTCGCTGTCGTCACTGTCCGATTTAGTTTTTTTCACAGGCGGTATCTTTTGTGACGTTTTGCTTTGATAAAAAGCCAAGATTTCTGTCAGCGACGGCGTGTTCTTTCCCACAGTGGGCTATAAATGCAAAAAGAAAAGCATTACTGAAAAGTTGTTGGGTTATGAGAACACGTGCTTTCAGCGTGGCGCATTGAAAGGTGCCAAACCATTTAGTAGGCGGCATTTGCTTTCCAATAGAAATCACAATTTATCGATTGCACACATTTGATATTGGCCGAAGCGGTAGTCTCATGCGCACGCATGCACTCAAATTGCATTGCATAAAAAAAATAAATAAAAAAAAAGGTATGTACTACAGCTTACCACTTTTGCTTTCTGCTCAAACACTTTCGCTAGGTTCTTGTCTTTTGTCTTCAGATACTCATGCACTATGGCATCGGTCAATTTTTGTAATTCTGTCATTTTAGTGACTATTTCACGATTTCTTTATTATTTCTCACAAAAATCTAGCAACGACTAACTCGTTGCAGTCACAATAAAAGGCATGGAATTGGACAACGCACACACACGTGTTGTTTCGATATATTTTACACACTCGATATATTCTTGGTAATGCGACTCTTAATTTTACAGCACCGGCAAAACAGTGCTGGTAAATACAGCCTTTATTGCGCATTCCAGATTTATTGTAACCTACTCAGTATATCATTTATGAGGTGTATTATTCATTCGTTTCACGTGTTATTAACAATTCACACCATGAAAATGATATGCTATAATAAATATTTAATTAGCCAAACCAGCAAATACTAAAGATAGTTCACATTTTAGTAGTTCGATTAAAGTCGCTCCGAACATAGCTTCACAACTCTATTGTTCAACACTGCTTGCAAACAGCTGTCGTACATTTTGTTTGTTATGAGGCGACTTTTTATAAACTTTGTTTCGTCTTAGCCAAAACAAACAGGCATAAACTCGAACTCTTTAAAATAGTAAGCGGTTGAGGCGAAAAGCGTTATTGGGTATGTACAATTATTTAACCAAAATTTAAATGCTAATATCAAAATTTACAGCCATGGCCGATGAGCCGTCGGATGCGATTGCCACGCCCCCGACGCCCAGCGAACAAACGCCCTATATATTTAAACTTAACAATGATTGCCTGGAATGTATATTTGAGCGTCTGCAGGATCTTCGCAGCGAGGTAGCATTTGCCAGAGTTTGCCAACGATTTCAATGGATATGCTTAAACCGATGGCGCGGCTCACATGCTTACGATCAGCTCGATATGGAGAAGTGGCGCGAATTGTTGCCAAACTATGAGGATCTGTGCTATTTTATTAAACAAATGCGTCCCTTTATAAGGCACATGACTGTGTCGAGCTGTCTGTGCACCTTATTAAAGGACTTGGACGAAATGCAAATTTATGTGCTGCCCAATGTAACCAGCTTCTATTATGATCCAGAAGATATGGATTGTTATCCATCGGATCGGAGCATATGCAAAATGGCTAAAATGATGCCAAATTTGCTACGATTGCGTCTAACGACACCTATTCAGGGGCGTTATCTGTCCAACTTTCGACATCTGCAGGAACTTCATTTGTACGAGGATCAGCATAAGGCATATGAATTGCAGCAGGAATATCTGGATGAGATCTGCAGGTAAGTGAAAGCCATTCGAAACCAGCAAATGAATTAACATATAACAAAATCTTCTTTTCGATTTTCGCAGTCAATTGCTTAATCTGCAAGTGCTGGACATACGCATGTATGATGTTATAAGCAAACTGCGTCTCAATAATTGCGTGGACTACCTACAGAATCTCAGCATCTTAAAGCTTAACTTGGCCACATTAAAATCGGTTTTAACAGAGGTGCTAAAGCTGCCAGCGCTTAAACAGTTGGTGGTTCTACTGGACACCGAGTGGTGCATACCACCAATGGCTAGTGTGGACAGTTACGATCACAAAATTCGCGAAGTACGAGAATTCTATGATATAATGGAGCGCAAGGCACAGGATATTATAGGCGTTGCGGTCGATGGCTATTATATGCCTCTGGAGCCTGGCTGGGATGCGGATTTATCAATTTGGTCACATCGAAAGCTACAGCGTTTGGCAATTTGTAGCTGGACACATGCCGTTGACTTTCTGGAGCGGTATACCTGCATGACAAATCTTCAGCTGCTCTGCCTGCGCAACTGGACATATTTGTGCGATGATATTCTACTCAAATTCATTGAACTGTGTCCACATCTACATCATCTTGATGTGTCCTATTGTCGGGAACTGACGCCCAATTTTCTGCAACGCGCACTCAACATTTTGAAGCAGCGCGAACCAAACAAACAGAATAATAAATTCATGCGCACACAACCACTACTAATCTATTATGTTCTATGTGGTTTCGAAGATTATGTTGATGTGAAGGTAGGTGAAGGGTATTGATTAAATGTTGGAGCTTTGTTTAAAAATAAATTTCATTGCAGGAGCTTAAACATTCACCAGAATACAAGGAATACATAATGTTTATGGACGCCTTTCCTGTTAGCTCTGAACGGGGCCTCAGTTTCGTAGATCGCGGATATCAGTTTGACTTTGAGTAAAACGGCCGGCAGCCAAATTCTTTTGTACATAACAAACAACTCATCAGTTATTGTAAATTCTCTAGTTTCGTGACATACATATATTGTAAATTTATGTTTTGTGTTAAGCAACAGACAAACAACAAACATATTGCAGACACAGCATTATTAATTATGTACATAAAGTTCTATGTACAATTTATTAAAGTTCCCTTAAATGCAAGCATTGAAATCTTATTCTGTTATTATTTATACTTTTATTTTATTGCACTGTCGGCTAACGCATTTCTGAGGGTACATACAAATCCATGCATAACATTTAAAATTGTTAGTGATGTGTAGTGGAGTCCGGGTATTTGAAATTGCCCGATTTTGTGTTGAGCTATCGATAAATATACAACTCTGGTTAAGGGCTGTATCGATAGAAAGTACTTGTCAAATTCCTATTACACTCATTATTCCAGGGTCCTTCAAAAATTGGGAACTTTTCGTTTAAAATTATGAGCGAAAAGCAAATAAAAAGCCCCTTAGGGGGAATAGGCAGTACAAACATCTTAAAATTCATCAACGCTGAACTCAATACTCCACAGGTAAGTCCACAAATATGTTTTCTATAAATATTTAAAAGTTCTGTTTCTTAGAACAAAGTTTTACTGGGCTTGGGAGTAGTCGCTGGCGCTGGTGCTTTTGGATATATAACATACGTACGCCACAAGTACGAGCGTCTCGGTTATTACATGGCGTTAAGGGAGGATGGACGCACAGAGTTCATTAAAAAGACATCCAATTGGGAAACGTGAAAGTCACTTGCATTTTGCTATACTTTAATCAAAAATTTTAAAGGATGCCTTGTATTGCAACCTTAATTTTCAAATTACTTTAGAATATCCTTAAGAGTTTCCTGGATTTGTTAAAACAGATGAGCCATCAAATTGTATAAATAATTATAATCTTGATAATTACAAGAATTAAATATCAAACATTTACTTTACGCGGATGCGTCTTTTTTTCGTTCCCTGTTATATTTTAATGACGTTAAATTAATTTAAATCGTATAACTTACCAGATACTTAAAATGACACACGAAAAACCTTGCGCCGTTATATTGATATTAATCGAAAGTGTTGCTGCTCGACTGCGCCTATCGATAGACGATAGACCACACATGTTTTGTTTACTAGAGCATTGTGCAATGTGCCTCAGAATTGTTGAAAATTCAATTGATACATAACTATGAGCGAGAAACAAACACAAAAGCCGGGCGAAGGCATACGCTCCATGAGAAGCACAAGTGTGTTCAGATTAATTAACTTTGAGCTCTACACAAAGCCGGTACGTACACCAGCAACATTAAACTGTCGCAATAACTAATATTAAATGTTTATCAATAAATTATAGAACAAAATCATTATGGGCCTGGGCCTGGCGGCAATAACTGGAGTATTTGGCTACATTGCGTATATGCGTTACAAGTACGAGAATCTCGGTTATTATGTTGCCGTCAGGGAGGATGGTCGCGAGGAGTTTGTTAAAAAGAAATCCAATTGGGAAACATAAATGAGATTTTGTCTGGAAACTATTTATTACTGTGTAGCACAATTTGGTACAATCAAGAGTTTGTTGTTATTGTTGTGGTTGCCAAAATATATATTCAAAAATCACAATAGTAGAAAAATGTTTTTTAAACTTTGAAAAATTTGCGCACGTAAAGAAAACAGCATTAACATTATTTCATTTCAAATCAAATACAGGAAGCACGAAAGTACATAATTAGGGGGCCCTGAATAACGAAAACATGAGTGTTTTATTTTTGTCTTGTTGCTGTTCGTGCTGTAAACTCCTTGTTATCCATTGTTTTTTGTTTCTTTTTGTTGTATCACACATTTAACAGTTGATGGCATGTCGTTTAGACAGATAATTTGAGCGCCTTTAGCTCCTCTAAATAACTTGCCTCCATTTCAATTTTGTTCAATTGATTCAATTCCAGAGTTTCGCCTTGACTTTGACGCGACTTGAGCTTCTTAATGTCAGATAATTTTTTGGCCACACTGCGTATCTTGCGATCCTTGTCGCTATTGTTGTTGCTGTTGCTGTTGCTGCTACTGTTGTTGGCATTGTTATTCTGTGCAACATTGCCATTGGCTTGATGACGCGGTGTGCCCAGCTCAGACGCTTTTTGCTGCTCCTGCTGTTGATGATAATGCTGCTGCTGCTGCCTGGGCAGCGGGCGCTGCTTTTGCACTGGTCTGCGCGGTGATTCACCAATGGTTACTGCTGATCCTGTTGCAATCTCCTGCTGCTGTTCCAGGCCTTCAATTGGAGCTACTAAAGTTGCAGCCGCATCTGGCGGTGTGGCATCGCCAGCCTCACGCTTGTTGTTGATGTTATTGTTGCCCTTTGCTTTGCTGCTGTTGGTATTCCTTTTCTTATTCTTGCCCATACCTGTAACGAGAACATTTAAAGGCAATTAGCTATTGAAATTAAAAATGTTTATAATTAGAAAAAAATTTGGATGATCTACGAAAAACAAAATCCCTATGCGGCATATTTTAAAACATATATCATCTTCATACTTATTATTTTATTTGCTTAAACACATTTCCAAAAGTCTTTGAATATTTGAGTAACATGTATTAAATTGATGAATACAGACTCTTATACATAATATATATATAATTTTGCACGCTCCCTCAAACTTCATCATTATTTATTCAAGCCACCCAGACGCTAAAATGATATACGCATATTAAGGACCTTTCGCATCACAACTCTTCCATAGCTAATGTACCTATCGTCTAAAGTTACGAAACTCTTGCGTCAGTGCCAAATAATTGGAATAGAAAGTATAAAATCTTCTAAAATTATGATATTATGAGAGTAGTAGGTTTGTTAAAAAGTTTCAATGGCCGTTGGACCAAATATTGAGAGAATAGGAAAGGAAGTATTATTTAGGTGCATAATATTTGACCTAAATAACCATAGAAATGTTGTAGGCAATGTACTTGTTTACTTACAGCCACGTGCTCTAAAATCCTACACAATGCATTTTGGGGTTTGTATGAGTGGAATGGAATGATGAATCTTTATAATTTAGTAGCGCTTATGCTGGTAGGGTCGGTAGCGTCGATTGGGTCGCGTAGAGCTCGCACTTGAGCTGCTGTGGCTGCTGTTGACCACGCTCGTTACCAGCTGACCCTGGCCCTGTTGCTGTTCGCCCGAGCCCTGGCATCGCCGCATTATCGGATTATCCAAGTCATATTGTCTATGCCAAATTTTCCTGCTGCTATTACCTGGTGCTGCTGCTGGAAGTCCCGGCACCGTCGGCTGCGGCAGATACTTTTCGGGATTCTTGCCCTCCTTTAGCAAACGCAAATGTGGCGGTGTGTAGGCCTTCTTGCTGGCCTCTGGCTGACTGGACTTGATGCCCTCATGCTTGGCCTTCGTAATTTTTGGCTCGGCATACGTATTATCCGCATACTGTTGCCACTCAATGCCGAGCAGTTCCTGGCCCTGTGGCCACAAGGTTTCATGTAGCAATGCGCCCGAATAATGATACACCTTGAATCTAGTACGTAAAATTCAATAAATATATATAAATAAGAGAGAGTTATTAACTTATCGAATAATTCGCTTACCCATTACTAATGCGCAACCGAGGTGCGGTGGTGGCAGTGACAAACCACTCTCCATTTGGATGCCATTCAAAGTGTGTAGTATCCGCGCATTTAATATTGGCGATCCTCTCCCGTTTGCCAACATCCCAGACTTCAACAGCGCCGGGCAGGTTGCCAAAACCGGCAAGCACAATCAGATTGCCAAATGGATTAAAGTAGGCGCAGTTGCGCGGACCTTCGCCAAAATCAAAAATGACATCGCACTTAAGATTGTAGAGTGCCGCCTTGGACGGCATAAAGCCATATACGACAACGAATTCATTAGCCTTAGGGCTCCATTTGACGCTATGCACGGGCCCTTCCTTGGATAATGGCACAGAGCATGTATCGCCCTTGGTGGCCATAAAATGCACTGCTTGATTTCCATAGTAAGAGGCACCGCTCTTGTCCACCTCTGTGCTGGTTAAAAGCAGAAGGCCGCTGCCCCGCTTATTCCACAGCATCTCGACGCGATCAGCTTGAAAGAAGCTCTTGCAGGCAACAGTTTGATTCTGACCCAAAGCCGGATACTTGTAGAGCTTACACATGGATGGTGCGCCCTTTGCACCAGGAATATAAAACGCCAGATATGGCGGACTATTGCCCGGACCAAGGGATAACATACCGCCACGACTGCCGCCAATCTTGCGCGATGTGCTGGCAAATCCTTCAACTGGACCAGCTGCCAAATCATAAAAGAGGGCTTCTCCGCCTACGACCAAGGCGAAGATTGATTCGTCCGATGACCACGAGGGCTGCCAATCCGTTTGATTTTTTTGCACAATGGCAAAGACCTCAGTGCCAGTGGCAACATCGTAAACAAGCAAATTTGCAGCACCTTCGGGACGATCCTTCGTAATGGCATAGTGCTCCCAGGTGCAAAGATAATTGCCACGCGGTGAGAACTTGAGATAGAAGGCCTTTGGACGCGGTAGCGTGCACTGTACCGGCCAGCAACCAGCGTTGCCAGTGTTGGAAGTGGGCACGTGTAGCACCTTCACCTCGACACCATTCGAGTATGCGAAGTAACGACCATCTGGACTGAAGCAGATCGAACGTGAACTTTTCGTCTCCTCTCGCGGCAAATTGGGCTTGTATGGCTGTTTTGCACCAGCTGACGACCACAGCTCAACAGCCACGCTAGAGCGAACTGCAAAGAGGCGGGCGAGAAAAAGTTAATAGCCAACACATACACGCGGTTTGGGGGACGGTCAGAAAAAATGCTTATTTTATATGTATTGACTGCGACCCAAAGGGGCGCAATCTATTGAATTGTGGGGTAAATCTATTCAGCTATCATGTGGTATGCAATAAAATGAATATTATTTATTGTATATTTACTTGCAAGGGTAGGAACAACACCGTCCACAGCCGCAGCCATTGTCTTCAATCTCTCACACACACACACACGGTCACTGACAGCAGTGTTGGTCAACAGTTGTTTGTGTACGCACGGTTGTATTGTGTTGTAATCGATAACGCTAAAGCAACATGCATTGGGCGCGCTTAAAACGAACATCAACCAAACGTATTCAAAAACTGCAACAAAATTTTATGCTCTACGTGAATTTCAAAACATTTTTAGACTAAAGAATTTTGTTACTTTGAAGCATCAAGGCAAACTTGGTGCACAGTACAAATTTGATGGCAGGAGGCGCTTCTACTTTCTCTGTATCTCAAATTCTACACACAACGTCAGAGTTTTCATTTCTTTTGGCAAACTATTACGACAGTTAATGTTTAGTTGTTAACAACAAAAAATAAAAGTACCGCACAATTGGCATTGGAACTCGTTCAGTTACTTTCGCTGAAAATTGTGACCAAACAACGACCCATGCACAGTGGTCAAATGTATGAACATATTTTTTTTTAAATGTGTCTTTATTTATTCACTCCTTATTTTATCGCTGAAAATGTAAAAATATATATAAAATATATAAGTTTAAGGAAACAAGTTGATAGAATTAGACGTTTCCTATTTTTGTAAATGACCTGCGAGCCGTTAATTCTGCCCCACTGTGCGATGATGGCAGCCGTCGCGACGCGTCGATGACACCTGTGTGTGGACAGTGGACACAACAAACATGTAATGGCCATTCATGTTTCAGTTTGACAATGTTTCAATTGTTACCATTAATTTTATTTGATTTATACTCGTATACCCAGCCAAGAGTCGACTGCGACGACAATTGACTTTAAATTTCTGGCATTTACCAAAGAGAAATGTTAGCACAGCCACAACTTTGAAAGTTTTGTAACTGAGTGTGCGTGTGTGCGTAAATTTTGTACACCATCTTTTGATAATAACCATCACGAATTGAAACTAATATAGCTTGGCAACGGCAACTTTCCCAAAATGAAAAGCGCCTTTGCTATGGCTGGCATCTGCAGATATTTACAGAATATGCTGTTATGCAATAATATTGATTGTAATTCAATTAAATGCGGTGCATGGCTCAGCCATTTCGCAATGCTTTCGGTTTTTTTTTTTTTTTTTATTATTATTTATGCAGGTGAAAATTCCAGTCACATTAACGAGCATAAATATTATAGATTTAGCTAGATCACAGGATAAGTATATAAGCAATAAACACACTCGTATACACATACATATATCTATGAAGGTTTATCTTTAAGCATATACATTTGTATATATGAATGCATATATATAGATATATATATTTTAGATCACAGCCGATGTGTAGCTTCTTGTTTGTTTGATTTGAAATTCGAAGGCCTTCTGTTCAAATGTTCCCCAAATTCAATTCAACATGCACAATCGTCTTCAGCCAAGCAGGCGCAGAGGGCGACACAAGGAACGCAAATTACAAATAACAAACAAATACTGCAACATAATATACCCAGTGCTACAGCAGCTATAACTACCAGGTAATAGTTTCCAGACTTTTTATCCAGTACCTTCATTTTGTAGAAGTCGCTAATAATTTTGAGGTGTGTGTGTTTTTCTAACAGTTAAGTAAAGGCATGTGTTTATTTTACAATCCTCAAACATTCACACAGTCAAAATTGTATTCATTGATTTTTATTTACTTTCCATGCAAGCTATCTTTAAGGTTGATATACTTTAAATTAAGAGAAAAAAAACTTATTTACAATAATTCATATTGTTTTCAACAATAAAAACACATCAATATTTGTTAATGTTTAATATATTTGCTTTTTACTTTTTTATCAATTGAAGTTTATTACAATAAATTTTGACTGCATTAATACGATTTGGCCCATGTGCAGTGTGGCCAGACTTCTTGCTGTTTTTCTGTTTTTTGAATCGGCGCCCGAACGTGTTGCAGCCTCTGAGGCTCAGGCTGATTTAATCGTCGACATTCTCATCGGAACAACAGACAGCACAACAACCCAAAATGGCTAAGCAGGGACAACAGAGTATCATGATAACACAGCAACAGCATAAGAATAATATTAACATAATGATTCCGATAATTATGAAAAGTATTGTGGGACTCTTCTTCTTTTTCGGATCGTTGGCTGTGTTTTTTGCCATTGTCTTTGTGGTTGTGCTTGGTAAATCCATTGTGCTAATTTCAAAAAAAAAAAAAAAAATTAAATTTGTATTATTAAATGTAACAGAACGTACATACACACTCTCCTGCAGGTTATTCTTATGGCCTTATATAATTGAATCTAGTACTTTATTAAAGCCTGCAAAGGTCTGGCCCCTATCTGTTTTGGTATTGGAATATTTTAAAAAAACAAAAGAATTTATAGAAAAACATTACGATTATTAAAAGAGCACAATAAGTGACAAGCAAAGTTAAGTTAAGTAGCATATTCCGCTACGGGATGAGTTCCTTACATGTGCACATAAATCAATTGGATTGACTTCATCGATTGTTTGCAGATCTCAGTAGCCCTAGCAATAGGAAAATAAAATATTCTATGTATTTATCTGTTACACATTGAGACGTATCAAAATTTCCGTATATTTTATTATAGTAGTTGACTTATACACACCTTTCGACGTATAATTGAATTGGTTTTTGGTATTTTCGATGTTGTTTATTTGTTAACTTGGTTCCTGCTGTGGTCTAAATTGCTGTCAAGGCATATGACAGGGAGTTCTTAAATTACAAATGTGTACATATGATTTTAACAAATTATGCAGCATACAAAAATTGGATACGACTTTGTTATTTTTTAATTCAGGTAAGTCTAGCAAGCTTGTCATCAGCCCATGAATTTAGCCAAATCCCGCCCAACTGGCAATTTTCTATTATTCTTCTTTAGACCCCATAATTCCCATAATGTGCACAAAGTATAGACGATAAATATTGAATTCAGAATTAAGAAAAAAATTAAAATTTATAAAACGAATCTATACGCATTTTGTGGCAGACTCATATGCCACACACTAGCTCATCTTTATATGCTGGTCTTTGGGTGTTCATCGTTCGCATTAGCTGCAGTTTTCCGTGCCCCAGACGAAGACCAAGCCCGAGTCCAGTGCCAACAACAGGTTACGAGCAATGCGTCGCCGTCGTTGCGCAGTCGCAGTGGCAGCGGACAACCGAGCACGAGCACGACCAAGTGCTTAAGGAATGGTAAACGTTACCTGTGCACGTCAGTCCAAGGTGAGCGCTCGTGCTGTTCGGTTTGCTTTGCTTTGGTTTGGTTGTTTGTGCCAGCTTGTTGGGCCGCGTTGTTTCACACCGCAGAGATCAAGACGCTGAGCTTGAAATTGAAATTCTTTTGTGCTGGCCCTGTGGCTCGTGTGGTCTCTGTTACGTGTTTCGATCAAGTGCGGTGCGGAAAGCAAATCAAATTTGTATACATAAAAAAAAACGTTAAGCCAAAACGTAGCTGCTTCCAAGTACAGCAAACCAATAAACAAACCAACACACACACACACACACACACACACAAACAAACACACACACAGTTTTAAAATGGAATACCGGTGCTTAAGTAGAAGTTCTGTCAAAGTAAGTGACCCCAATAAGCCAAAAAAAAAAAAAAAATAAGAAAAAAGTAAAGAGATACTAGTAACAGTTCCTTAGGCGACTAGAAAATACTCTGTACAAAGCTCTTAATTTAATTGTGATTTATCCTTAATCGAAACTCAGCGTTTTAAATGTGAGTTAACAAAATGTGAAGTCCTTTTTGCCGAGACAAGTTGAAATTTTGTCTGCCAACTCTTTGCAAGTGCTGCAACACGAGCCTATGCCGTTTTGTGCATTTCACGAGTACAGGGTATAAAGAGCGCAGCCAGCCAATAAAGCGCCCACAAGGAAGCTTCAGCTCAGCTCAAGTTGTCTCTCCAGCTCTCCGGCTCTTTACATTGAACTTGGCATTGTTCTCAGTTGACGCTGTCGTCGTTGTGTCTGTATTCCTTTTGACGCTGCAAACCAGTATGCCATAAAAACTCGGCATATATATATATATATATATATGTGTATACAGGTGCAAGCATAGGTGTGTGTGTGTGTATGTGCACACATGCAGCCTGGCTGGCCCAACCCAACTGGCAGCAGAGTCACCGGAACACCTTGGTGGTCCATTAAAGATTAAGCGATTTTTGGGTTCGGCTTGGCTAGGCTTGCCTGGATTCTTTAGGAATAATCCGAGCCAAAACCACGACCTATTTCTGCTGTCAGCCAATCACTTGCTAAAATTATCACCTTTCTTTGACTTTCTTTTTGCCCGTTGTGTGCCCCACACACACAGTCGCAGCCTTAACGAATTTTTAATGAATTTGCTTTGCCCAAATAACTTTTACTAGCTGCTTTTTGTTACCCGTGTCACGTTTAAAATATACATATACTTATATGGCTTATGGGTTTTCCTTAAATGGGTTTTACCAGGAGGAGAAGTTCTCGAGATTTTGTTGGCTCCTTGCGTAAGATTTTGCATATAGGAGACGCCTATTATTAACTAATGTTATTTTTTTTTAAGTTTCCAGTGGGAATTGTTAAAATATAAATATAAAAAATATTAATTTTGAAAAATATTAAATTTCAAAATAAAATATCATTATTAAATGCAACATTTGATAAAATCTAAATGTGAAAATTATGCCCAAGTGAGAGTTTTCTTAATTGGTCTCAAACCATCGCGTCATCCCATTGACTTTTTATCTCCCAAGTATAATATATTGCTTATTTAAAATGCCTGATTCGACGTTTTTACTCACGTTTTTCATCGACTGTTCATGCTTAAAGCGTTAAGGCTCATCAATCGGCAAACCTTTGCCTTATACCATTTATCCATAATTTTGCCATGCCCGTTTTCCGGGCCAAAACGTGTTGCTCAGTAGCCGCATTGAAGATGATTCAAAATAAATTCCGACACTGATTCAAAGAGACGCGGTCAGTTGGCCCAAAGCATAATACGATTTTTTTTTATTTTTCGAAAAGTAGGCTAAACATATTCATACTTTGATTTTTATGGTGTCCCGTGTATTTTTTTTTTTTTTTTTTTTTGTATTTTTTCGTTGCTGGGAGCCGGTCTTCTCATACGCACCCGACTCTTCTACCTTCTGAGCGTGAAAATCTCATTCATGCGTGCCAGCCTCAAGCCTCAAGTGAGTTTTGTTGTTGTTCTCATGCGACTTCTTGAGTGTGACGAAGATGAACCCAACCTTTAAAACCATTTGAATATTTGCAAAACGATGCATGAGCGGAATTAAAAACTGTAAAACAAAGAAGTATTCAGTTTTTGGGTCAAAATGTTGCCATTCTGTTTGCGTATGTGTTTGTGTTTGAATAGTTTGAAATAGTAAAAATACCAAATGTTGGTGGAAATTCACATTTGCATAAATGTGTGTTAATTGGTATATTTAATGTAGCGCCAAGAACTAACAGTACTTGTTTAGCACATAATTGATGAGAGATGTGTTTGCCTTAGGCATAACTATAAACATTTTTTGTAGAATTGCTCAGAGAAATCTTGGGCCTGCCTTCCCTTCTGCCCCGCTAAACGAAAAAAATAAAGCATAATGAGTAAAAGTGTCAGCGACTGTAGCTAATTATTATTATTATTATTATTGTTATCATTATTTCGGTTCTACTTGGAGGCAGCGAAATTTTTGTTTTATTTGCTCTTAACCTCGTTTCCACGCACGATCGCAAACCGCCAGCTTCAGCCGGACAATGGCCAAAGTACGCACGCAGCATGCGAAGTAGCCCAAAATGAAAGCTGTTGTCATCGTGTGGGAGGCAGAGAGAGAAAGAGAGAGAGAGAGAGAGAGAGGGAGAGAGGGAGGTAGCAATGGCAGCCGCAGCCATTGCACTTGTCTGTGTCTTTCTCTGTCACACCGCTGGCGAGCTGCTTCTAACTGTATTTCGAGCTTCAAGATACAAAAGCTGTGTTGTTGTGGTTTCTGAGTCTGAGAAAACGTGCTTTGCATGCCTAGAGAGCGAAAAAAAAACCGCATTGAAAGTTTTGTCGCTCGGGGTTATCACGCCAAAGCGTAGAATCATGTTGTTGGCTTGGCAGCTGCATGTTAAATAAAAGAAACAAAAAAAAAACGGTCTAATGGGCAACGGTTAACAAATCAAAGAAATGCTAAGAACTGTTTAGGTTGCGGCCTTTTGCAGCACTGCATTTGATTTATCGTCATTGTAATCGATTCACAAATGTAAAACAAGCACAAGCTGCAAACAACAGGTGGCCTGTAATCGATCCTGCACGAGATCTTTTGGCCAGCACAAAGGCCTTGAAAATGGTGTCAAGCAAACAACACAAACAAATAACAATTTATTTCATTTAATAGAGATTACCGGTGACTGCCATTGAGAATATGGAACTCTCTGCTTGCCGACAGCTGCCAGCGCTTATCAATAAACCAGTTTGAAGTTGTTTGCTATTTGTTTGCTGTCAATAATCTGTCGTCGCCCCATTGCGCTGCCATGCTCTAAAAAACCAATTTTCACTTGAACTTGTAGCTTGTAGCTAAGAGCAGGCACAGTGCAGCCCATATTGTTTGAGCCAATTTGTGCTTTGTATTAGTATTAAATATTGTTTATTAAATGTTTACGCTTTTCCAAAAGCTGCCAGGCTAATAGGCGACGATGTGAGTTATAGAGATAGGGGGAGAGACAGAGAGGAAGATGAATGTAGGTCGTTAACCTCGTTATAACGGCACCTAATATGTATGTAAGAGCTCTCATATGTGCGTACCTCTATGTATACATATGTATGTATGTGCATAAGTGTGCTCTTGATAGTTTTGCTGTTTCTTTTGCTGTAGTTTTAATTCTTATTCTTTCTAACCTGCCTACCTTGCCAGCGCGTTAAGTCACCAACAACAACACACACACACACACGCACAACATTTAGTGCGTTGCCGCTGCTGTTTTAAGTTGTTGCTGTATTTTTTGTTGCTGTTATGTAAGCGCTCTTTTGTCGCCGCCTAATGACTGCGCATTAGTCCAAAAAGTTGAAATTGTCGCCGCCGCGAGCGTCTTCAATGTCTTTTTGATTAATGCATGATTTTACAATTTCTAACCCAATTATGAGAAGAGAAATAAAAAAAAAAAAAACGGCTTATCATAATTATAATTATTTGCATGTTTTGCTATGCGTCCAGTCATTGGCGCGACAATTTCAATGAACTCGAAAATGACGGTCCCTCATTAGGCTTCGTCTTTTCAACCCCTTTTCACCCCCCTCGGCAAGCCGCTGATTGAGCTGCTGAAAGACTAAAAATCGTTTTCAGACAGGTTCAAATGGCAACGTGACGCGCTTCGATGTGAAATTAGTTAGCTTAGCGTAGGTACTAGTATGTTTATTACGATTATTAAACGAAATTGTTTGGAGGGGGGGGCCGTAAAAACAAGAAAGTTAAAAACCGGCATTGACAATAGCGCCATTAATGACGAGCACAGCAGAATTTGACAAAAGGGCCAGCCAGAGTTCAGGTGAGAGTGGTCCCAGGCACTGTGAAACCTGCGACTTGAAGAGCAACAACAACATGCTCGCAACAACAGTCGCAGCGCAAGTTCATTAATTTCTTGTAATGAATGTGAAAAGAATTAAATAATAGAATTTCGCTTTCATTTACTTCCCACAAGCGGCGGGCACACGCAATGGGCCATATAATGAGTCCGGTTGGCACTTCAAACATTTCGTCAAATGTGCAATTGAAAAGAAAGTTAAGTTTAGCTGCTGCCCGTGGGCCACAATAATAGACATGTGCCAAGTATACAATAAAAGAAATTGTTTAAATCAATTTAAAAATACCCTCGGACTGGTATTTTTTGTTGTTGTTAAAACATCAAACATGTTAGTGAGGACATTGCACGTTACAACTTGTCGGAGACAGCGTTAGTCGCGCGTCTGAGCTTATTATCTTTTTTAGCATGACATACGTGAAATGATTTTCTCAGCGGGCATCTTATTCGAATTTTTTTTTTTTTTTTTGTGGAAAAAGCAAATTATGTGCTGCTGCAATTTGATTCAATCGAAACTGGTTTTTCGGCGTGGCCTCTTGCCTTTTTTTTATATATTTTTTTTGGTCAGGCCAACACTTGATCAACAAAAATCTGCACAGAGAAAGTGAAAGAAAATACCAAACAAGAAAAAAACAAAAAACAAATCAAGACAACGATACATAAAACTACGAGAAGTGGTAATAAAAAGTTCAGACCGTATTAGAAGCCAACTTTGCATGTTGTTGAAAAATGTATTAACATTTTTCTTGTTGTTGTTGTTATTGCTGTCTGCTTTTGGCCCCGCCAATTGGAATTTCTTCTTTTGTTTTTACTTTCACGTACGGTTTATGGGGGCGATTGCGGTTACCGTGATTATTTATGAATTCTACTAATTTGCTTAGTATCCACAAAAGTTAAAGCGGGTCAAGACTGGCATTGCCTGCCTTCGTTTTCGAGAAAAAAGAAACTTTTTTTATTGAGCTTCTGGAATGTTAATAAGAAATCTAACGAGCATATTACTTATGTATATGTTCGTATTCGTGTAAATACTGTAATTTGAAATGTTACAATCAATACTAGACAGGTTTATTGTTCATGTTGAATTGTTTACAGGGCATAACTTAGTCGAGCACTTCAGAGTATTGGGCTTATGCTGCATGACGCAGCAATTTTTTGTCTGACACTTATTGGCGTGTTCGCTGTAACCGTTATAAGTACAGGCTTGTCTCCTAAAATATCGATAATATTTGAATATGCATTCATTTGTATGTTTTTTTTTTCTCTCTTCCCAGCATCTAACGGCACTCTGCGTCATCAGCATTGCACTCACATGCGCCAATGCGGCGTTGTGGCCCAGCTTTAGCAGCAGCAGCAGCAGCGCAGATGATGCGCCGCCCAGCAAATGCACCGGTGCGCGTGGATTGAAATATTTGTCTGGTGATGCGTTGACAGATTCACCAGACTGCCTGGGTCCAAATAATGCGCCGTATCCCAGGTATGTGTGTGTATGTGTGTGTGTGTGTGACTCATTACGCTTTGACACAATGCTAAACTTTCTTTTCTAACGCCTCTGCTTGTCAATCGATTGCAGCGCGGCCGTTGCGCGCACATTCTCCAATTGGAACGGAAATTCGCGACGTGGACGTCAGAGCAAATTGCCCAGCACACTGGATCCAGCAATAACCACAAGTGCATTGTTGAGGGCCTACGATGAGGTGAACAATGAGGCTATCGGAAGCAATCGTTATGGTAAGTCGGTCAGCCGCAAATGCTAATGATGGTGTGCTCGCAATTGATTGAATGATTGATTGATTGCTTGACTCTCCGTTGATTCGCAGGTCGTTCATTAAAGAACGCTACGCCGGCGCAACAGTGCAAGAGCGATACGCCGGCGCGACTGTGCAAGACGCGCTATAATACAACTGCGCCCATGTATGGCGTTAGCTTGACCTCGGGTCAGCCCGTGACCATTGTGCAAAAGTTTCCCGATCTATTGCAACAGGTCGTTTTTGAGGTGTGCGAGTGAGTATTTTCTAAACCCATCAACGTGTACACAATGTATGTACATATGTATGTGAGTGTCGGTGTGAGCTGCTATAATTATTATTCGGTGCTGCCAGACTGGTGAATTTTGATGTCATTTTTATAGCACGCTTAAATAGTTCATATAGCTGTTGGTGAGCTTATAAACGTACATATTACATACATTTAAATATACTTAACCCATTAACATATAATCTGATTAATCAAAAATGTTAAATATTGGTATAGATCCTCAGAATGCGATGTGGTGCGTGGCGAGTGCACGCAGACGTATGTGCCTTATTTGTTCCTGGTTATACCTCTGGGCCCAGTAACGCTTACTGGCCAGGATTATGTGCTCGTTGAGAGCGGATGTGTCTGTAAGCCAAAATACTCGACGGGTGCCGCTCAAGAGCCTAACATGATACCGTAAATGCATGAAAGTGTTATCACACTGGTATACAACAGCAACCAAAAGAACTGAGCGAGTTTATAGGGTGGAGCGGCAAAATTTACTTAAATCTGGAATTATTTTTTGTAGCAAAATCATATTTTTAATGTTATTTATTCGCTTTTCGTTTGCCTCTATTTATCTCTACCTATCGCTGTTTAAATGAAATAGGCTTTTGCTCGAAAAATAATGCTAAAATTAAGTTTTTAATTAAAGTAATGCATTTAAATTAATTAACATTAATATCAAGGAACATCAGCTACCGAACAAATTTTTAGATTTGTGGTATGAAAGAGACAAATGAAAACCACGCATATGGCAAAACAAATTTAGTTATATTTACATATAATAATTTAATTATAACAAGCCTTTTTAACGTTTTGTTAAAATTTATGTGTATGTACTAATTTTAAAAGAAATAAATTATTTCAAATAAACAATCGTTTATGCTGCAACGTTTTTTATTCAGTACGATAATCACGTATCGATAACCAACGTGTCAAGTGCAATATTTAAAATTGCAACATAAAATACAATCGAGTGCGGTATATTTGGCCATCCTTAAATAAGTTTTCGTGTTGACGTATCGTTTGCAAAAATATATGACTATCGATACGATTTGTGTAAAGTGCATGCGCTGCCGCTACAACTATCGGCTCATCACTTGCTTGCCATGTATCGTTTTGAGTCGTGCCAGCTCTAGCTACACGCATAAATTTTTAGCGAAAATTTAGAAAACGAGCAACTAAAAATCGGCAAAAGAGCAGCAAGTGCAATTTCGCGAGTAGTTTAATAGTTGCATTGTGTAATTACACTTATTATAAAGGTGTTTTTTGTGCATTTAGCGCCGCATACTTTGTCGCTTCGCACTCGCACTAACACAAACGCGCTGAGTGTTTTGCGCGTGTGTGTGTGTATGTGTATGTGTGTGTTGAGTGTGTATAGGTGACAATTTTGTTGCGTGGTGCCGGGTTACATTTACAATATTACAGAATTTTGTTGATCTGCGAGCGCGCGCATTAATTGTGGCATGAAATAAAAACATCGCAAATAAGCCGGCCCAGTTGAAACCACGTAACGCTAGCGAGTCCAAAAGCGTTCATCTTCAAAATGATGTTCACGGTACGTTGTTGTTACGCCTTATACGCTGCGGGTTGCCCATAATGCGGCCAACGGACAATCGATAAACGGCGCTGCTAAACTGCACACCAAGAGAGCTGAACAAACATGAGAGTCTGTTTTCATGATCAGCCTCAGTGTTGTTGCGTTGCTTATGTTGTTCTATGCCATCTCTCCGCTCTCTGCGTCTCATTTTACTCAAGCAAGGCTTTGCCAAAGCTCTGGTGGCACGCGCATGTATGTGTAAACTGAGCAGTACACAGTTGAGCATAATTTTGTTCTCTCTCTCTATGGTGCCCAAAATACATGAAAATTGCTCTCCATTATGTTTGCATGAAACTATTAAAAATGTGTGATTTATTTAAGCAAATTTAGTTCCGTGTCCTGATGTTGTCTGTTTTTGTTATTTTTAGGGCACCAACCAGCAGCAGGACACGCGCTTTAGCGACAAGGAAAAGAAGCTAATGAAGCAAATGAAGTTCGGTGATTGCCTCAACAAGCGCGTGGACATGTCCAAGGTGAAGCTAGATGTGCTGCGACCTTGGATAAGCAAAAAAATCACTGATATTCTGCACATCGAGGACGATGTCGTTGTTGAGTTTGTATACAATCAGCTGGAGGAGGAGAAATATCCTTGCCCCAAAAAAATGCAAATTAATATGACCGGCTTCCTTAACGGACGCAATGCGCGCCAATTTATGGGTGAACTTTGGGCGCTGCTGCTCTCGGCACAGGAGAGCGACAGCGGCATACCCGCTGAATTTATACAGCAGAAAAAGGACGAGATACTCAAGCGCGAGGAGGAGCAACAAAAGCAACGCCAGCAGCAGCGTCAACGTGACTTATCTCGTTCCCGCTCTCGGTCCCCGTCCCGCCCACGGGACAAGCAGCGACGTCACGACAGATCCAAGTCGCGTTCCCGCAGTCGCTCAGCCCCGAAAATCGTGGCCACTTCCAACAATGGCAGCGCCGTGGGGCCCATCAACAGTGCTGCACGCGAAGCGGCCGCAAATGCAGCGGCGCGTCTACGCAAACGCGGTGGTGGCTCACCCGGTGCAGCAGGCGGTACATCAAACGCAGCGGCGTCGGCGGGCGGTGGACGCGGCGCGTCCAGAGAACGTCGTACAAGCCGTCGCCGCTCACATTCCCGCTCACGATCCAACCGCTCAGCGCAACGAGCGGGGTCAACGGATGCTGGTGGCACTGCCAAGACCCTAAATGGACGTCACTCCGTACAGAAGTCCTCGCCTGCGGCGGCGCCCAAATCCAAATCAAAGGCCAAATCGCGCTCACGTTCGCATTCGCGATCATCGCGCAGTCGCACCAGGTATTAAATCACAATCAAAGCTACAAAGGGTTGTTGATATCTTGCAGGTGGATCTTAAATTCGTTTTATTTACAAACTGGAATTATCAAAGATAAGCATATATCAGTCAGAAAGCAAATCAATTCTGGGCTAGTCGGGGCATTAATATATATGTCGGCTTGTTTCCGCATGGGATTAGATTCTAGATCTGATTCTGTCTTCAATTAAGTTAAATCTTTTGTTTTAGTCAAAATGAAAAGTGACTTGATTTGGTCTATTTGAATTCGAATTCGAATCATTTAATGTTTCATTTTCTTTGTATCGAAAATGCAGTCTTACAAAATGTCAAGAATAATCAAGCGACTTATCGATACAGTTGTTGCTAGAAATAATTTTATTTATTTTATCATTCCGTAAATTCGATTCTGCAGTCATGGATTTACTTAGATATCAACATCTCAATAATTGCTTATCACCGATAACAATTGAAAATGTTGCCTTTTGCTTTTCCAGATCCCGCAGCGGAGGTAAAGGCTCGCCAGCGCGTTCGCGTTCGCGCAGCTCCTCGCGCTCATCGGCTCGCAGCAATCGACGTCGGCGTAGCTCACGCTCTCGGGCCAGCAGCATCTCGCTCTCACCAGAACGCCAGCAGGATCATCAGTTTGAGCATCGACGCAACAAGAACAGCGTTCAGAATAAGCGACAATATCGCAATAATCGTGACGGTTCCGCCAGCTCCATTGAGCGTGGCGATGGTCGTGCCAGGCAATTTGGTGGCGGTGGCGGTGGACGACGACCACCGCCTCAAGGTAGACGCTTCTCGCCACGCGGACGCAGTCCAATGCGTCAGGATAATGGCGGCGGTGGCGGACGCTTTCAGCGTTCCAATTCCCGACGTCGCTCGCGCTCCCGCATGCTCTCCAGATCGCCCATGCGCTACTCCAGATCACCCAGGCGGTAAGAATATCTCTAATATCTCTTGTTGTCGGGTTTATCCTGGGCATTTGTTGCCATTAAAGCTCCTGATCTGCAGTCCGTCTGAATAAACGTTTCGATTTTGTAGACAATTATAAATAATTGAATATACATATATTAGATATTATTATTATTATAATCCTTATCCTTTTAATAGCCTTGAAACGATTAGAAGACATCTTCGTCTGCACTAAGTGTATAAAATAAAGATAGGTCGAAAGTTAGGCTCTTATTTGAAAAAATGTTGTTTATGGATTTCTTGAATTTAAGATATCTTGAGCAAGCTCATAATTTATTAGATTTACCCAAGAATCCAATACTCTTCATCATATCCTTAGGTCTGCAAGGGTATTAAATGTTCGGCGTGCCGTTTTGCTTGTTCCTTGCCAAGCTCTCAACATTTTCACTGAGCATAATCTATTGTATATAACTTTTGACATCGTTGTCATTGAGTCTGTCGCCTTGTCAAAATGTGTACTCAGATGAAGACAAGATATGTATATGTACTCGATACTGTCTAGTGTCTAGTTGTGACAAATAAATATACATCTGTTTTTGATATTTTGCAATTGTTACTAAATGAATTGTTATTCGCATTTTCCTTTAAACAGTTTCAACAATCGCCGTCGCTCGCCGCAGATGCATTTTCGCGGTGGCGGTGGTGGACGCGGACGCGGTGGCGGCAACCATCGCAACATGTGGCAGCAACAATATCGCGGAGGCAGTCCCAATCAGCGGGGCGGCGGACGCATACACTGGCAGGCCAGGCACAACAGTCCCAATGGTGGGCGACGCTTCGATCGCCGCCAGTCACCGCCGGGAGGTGGTGGTGGTGGTGGTGGTGGTGGTCAACATCGTTACTCACGCGACCGACGCGGATCGCCTGGTGCTCAGGGCAATCAGCAGCAGGGACAACAGTTCCGCAAGCAGTTCTCGCCAGGCCGAGGTCGCTTTGACCGACGTGGCTCGCCGCAGGGCAACTTCAATCGCTGGGATCAGAATCATCCCGACCAGCGTCAACCGATGCCGGCGATGCGCAATCAACAGCAGCAGCAACGCATACGACGCTCCAGTTCAGGCAGTGCTAGTCCGGCCGCGCGTCGTCAGCCGCAGCGCAGTGTCAGTCCACTGCCCAGAAATCGCAGTCGCAGCCGCAGTCGCTCCAGCGTACGTCCAACGAAACGCAGTCGCAGCCGCAGTCGCAGTCCGCACAGTCGCAGTCGTTCCAACTCGCGACAGCGGCCGCAGCCGCAGCAGCAGCGCCGACGTGCCAGTCCCGCTGCAGTGCGTCGGTCCGTTGAGTTTGCCGGTCCCTCGGTCAACACCATTGATCTCTGCCGCGAAGAGCCGCCGCCGCCGCCGCCTCTGCCCGCCACAGAGCAGCAGCCCCAGCGCAAATTGGAGTCACAGCAACAGACGCTGCCGCAACCGCAACAGTCGCTGTCGCAGCCGCCGTCACAGCAGCCAACGCAGCCAGCGCGCCGTAGCTTTGCCAGCCTTTCGCGCACTCCATCGCCGTTCCTTAAATCGCATGAGCGCAGCGTCGTTAGCGCTAGCGCAGCCGCAGCACCAAAGAAAGCTCGCGACAACAGTCAAAGCAGCAGCTCGGATAGCAGCGCCGAGGACAGCGATGACAGCGATGATGAGGATCAGCCGCCGCCGAAGAAGCGTCATCAATCGCGTCGCTCGGCGCCAAGCGGCAAGAGCCAAAACGCTAAAACTAAAGCAACGGCAACGGAGCCGAGGGCCAAGAGCTCTAGCAAGGCCAAAGTGTCGCGCAGCTCGGCCAGCAGCAGCAGCAGTGAGCACAGCGACGACAGCAGCGATGACAGACACAAGAAGAAGTCGCAGCCGAAGCGCAAGGAGGAAACGATTGCAAGCAGAGGCGAGAAGGAAAAGCAGCGTCGAAGCGGGGACAAGAAACTGCAGCGCAGCACGTCCAGCGAGGCGGTGCCGCCAGAGGCATTGGTGGAGAAGCAAAGAAGCTTGGACCGGAGCCGCAAGCGAAGTCATAAAAAGTCACGACGAGATGGCAGCGGCGTCGGCGGCGGAGGTGGTGGTGTTGGTGGCGATGCAAGCGAGTCTGAGGAAGAACGTCTGCCCAAAAAGAAACGCAAGAAGTCAAAGAAAGCAGCAGATACCAGCGACAGCGACTCTGCATCGGAGGCTGAGTCCTCGTCCAAGAAGAAGAAACACAAGAAACATAAGAAGCACAGCAAGAAAAGCAAGAAGCATAAGAAGCATAAGCGAAAGAGCAGCAGCAGCGCCAAGCATCGGCAAGAGAGCAGCTCCCAGAGCAGCGCTGATGACGATGAGGAGCTCTCCACGAGGGCTGGCAAACGGAATGGCAAGCTGCCGCTGATGCTCACTGGCGGCCCTGGCATCAATGAGGATTTAGAGAAGCAGCTGCGCGAGCGTGCATTGAAATCCATGAAAAAGTTGGACTGAGCAAAACAGCAAACGGCTACAATAAACTGACTAAATTAAACGGAAGATAAAGAAGAAGGAAGAATATAAACGTTAACACAATGCGAACCCCTCATACAAATATAAATACATATGCATACGACACCCTGACATTCAGACGGACATGCGTAGCCATTTAATCACTAACGTAACATTCATATTTGCATACATTAATTAATATTTCTAACAATTTATTTCATACGTTTAAGTCACATTGCGCGTCGAAACCTATTATAACAAGAATTCGTGCATGATAAATACAATTTGTATTATGTACAAAAACAAGAAATTTCTCAACAAAAAAAAGAAACAAACAAAATATTACAATAACAAATAAAAAGCCGTTGTGCTTTTACAAAAAAAAAAAAAAACAAAAACCCCCCAAAAAAAAAAAAAACAAATCAAGCTAAAGAAAAGTTTGATAATTATGCAAGTTGCTACAGTTATTAGGCAACAATGTTTGCTTAGAACACTACCGTTTAATGTCTAAGTAGGTTTTACAGAATGTAATTAATGATACCTAAAACGAATATTATGTGCGTTTGAAAGCATTATTGATTAATATATATATAAAGAACAAAAAAAAAAATAAACAATTGTAAAAGTAATAATTGGGTATTTAAAATTTCAAATTTTAGCGCGCTGCGTGCAACTCTAAGCATCTAAAACATTTGACAGCACTAGTTTGTGGTGCTTCGGTCACACTGAAATGACCAAGCTGGCAACGCTACGAGCAGTTGTCAAATGCTTTGACAGCTCACCAACTTCCTTTCCTTTTTTACGTATCGTACGAGATGGTAAGGCTGAAAATATAAATGGAATATAAATACACTGCCATCGACGCGCAATACAAACAAAAATCCAGTGAAATGTAATGCAAATTACGCTGTAAACTATGAAATTGCTGATTCTGTGAGCATTTATGTGAACGTGCGTGCGTTTAAATTAAAAACTTTGGAGTTTTTGTTTGTTGTTGCAGTCGTTTGCTTGTAATCCGTTGAATTGATTGTTAACTGTTTTTTGTGCAACATTTTTGTAGGCTCGTGGACCTAAGAAACATTTGAAGCGTTTAGCCGCACCAAAGGCATGGATGTTGGACAAATTGGGCGGCGTTTTCGCCCCACGTCCCTCAACCGGTCCACACAAGCTGCGCGAGTCGCTGCCGCTGTTGATCTTCCTGAGAAATCGTCTAAAGTACGCTCTCAACGGCGCCGAGGTGACCAAAATTGTCATGCAGCGCCTCATCAAGGTTGACGGCAAGGTGCGCACGGATCCCACCTACCCGGCCGGCTTCATGGGTAAGTCGTCAATTCACACTCGGCACTGGGTTCCAGTTCTTAATCGTTTATAATTCATATGATAGATGTCATCACCATTGAGAAGACTGGTGAGTTCTTCCGTCTGGTCTATGATGTGAAGGGACGTTTCACCATTCATCGCATTTCCGCTGAGGAGGCCAAGGTAAGCGCCAATGAAAGATCTGTTCGCATACGTCGGGCTTCATCGAAGACCGTTTAGCGTTTTCCAGTACGCCAATTGGTTCAAAATGAAGCCCATAGCAATTTTTGATACGACGGTCTCTGAACTGTGCATATTGCCAGCCGTTTCAGTAACTTTTACGTGCAATTACAAATCAACCAAGAAATTGTTAGCTTCGATCTATTTGTAGAATTTTCTATTCTAAATTCGTATACTTTTCATTGCAGTACAAGCTGTGCAAGGTGCGCAAGACACAATTGGGTGCCAAGGGCGTGCCATTCCTGGTGACGCACGATGGCCGCACCATCCGCTATCCCGATCCTCTGGTGCATGCCAACGATACCGTGCAGGTGGACATTGCCACCGGCAAGATCACCGACTACATCAAGTTCGATTCGGGTAGGTGCATCAATTAAACAAACTTTAAACTTGGCTGGTTCGAAGACCACAAAACGCTTTCTATTAAGTTGCGTGGTTCAAATACGAAGCCAATAGCAATTTTTGATACGACGGTCTCTGATTTGTGCATTTAGCCAGCAATTTCAGTAACTTTAACGTGCAATTACATTTACAATATTTAAGGGAATATCAAGCTATGAGTGTAACAACAAAAAAATGTCTTATTTCGATTCACAGGCAACCTCTGCATGATCACTGGAGGCAGGAATTTGGGACGTGTTGGCACCGTTGTCAACCGTGAGCGTCATCCCGGCTCCTTCGATATTGTGCACATTAAGGATTCGCAGGGTCATGTGTTTGCCACTCGTTTGACCAACGTGTTCATCATTGGCAAGGGCAACAAGCCTTACATCTCGCTGCCAAAGGGCAAGGGTGTTAAGCTGAGCATCTCGGAGGAGCGCGACAAGCGTTTGGCCGCCAAGACCCACTAAACAACATGCCAGCCGGACAGCAGCAGCAGCAGCAGATTAGGGGACAAGAGTAATGAGGATTTTTACCTTTTAGCATAACTCTGTACGTTAGAGCTACGGAATTACAAAACAACGTAAACAAAACCATTCGTTCGTTTTCTTATACCCCACGTGTAGAGTGGAACACGAATCAGATTTTGCCAATGTAAACTAGAACCTGTCATGGAATAAGGTTTATTTCGGGTGTTCATGATGGGCATGAGAAATCGTTATCGATATAAGGTAAAAGAGCTGGACATGAGCTCTAAAAACGGTCTTGCATGAGTACGGATTGCCCAAGTTCGTCGACCATCTCTTATTTAAGTCAAGAACAGTAACTTCATTGGAAGCATTTACAAATTGCGCTTAAAAAGAGAACATTTAAGGAATACCATTAACTGTTTGGAAGGGGGTAAGTTTCGCGCGCCAATTTTTGCTTATCAATGTTTTCAGTGCTGTCTAATTTTTTCTGTGTGTAGGGCTGCAAAGCTTCGATAAATACGCAAATGCGTATCGCAATTATCGATATCAAGTTCTGTCTTTGTGTGTAGTGCAGTGAAAGGCTTGCGCACTGGGCAAATTAGTTAAAAAGAAACTGGAAATCAACTCGCCCACTGAAGTAAATCCTAGGTAACTTATACTAATAATTGGAAGCCATATAGCTGCTGGCACCCAAAGGCAAAGTCAGACCATCGGTACGTGTGTAAACTGTCTGTGCGCGTGTGTGTGTGTTTTGGTATTGCTGTGAGCCCGCATACACACACATGCCTTCATATATACACACACCAGTACATATGTTTGTATGCATGTTGGTCATATGTTAGCATGTCTGATAAACTCTCTGTTGAAGTGAATCATTTGTTTGGCTCCAGTTCGAGTTTGTTTGTTTGTGTAATGCGAAGCGCATTAGTTTGTAGATAGTTGCGGTCTTTGTGCCCTCACATAGCTAAAGTAAAGCACTCTACATTCGCAGACAGTCGCGTCATAGAACCCAACGACCACGCACCACCCACAAAAAAACAACGAAGAAACACCAAAGACAGTTTTGTACAACCGACACAGAGTGCTAGAGTGACCAGGCGCTAGCACACACATACACATAGTACTAGAGTGACCAGACAGCAATAATCATGGCGCAGGCATTGAACAATCCAGCCGGTGGCACGCATCGCGATTATGGTGCTACATCCAGTGCCACGCCCGAGGTGAGCTTTGCGGCTGCCTCCAGTGGCAATTCCGGCTTCAGTCCCACAGAGTTCGTGTCGCTGAGCGAGGATATTGGCCACAATATCACATCGATACACAGCAGCACCAAGCAGCTGGAGAAGCAGCTAAAACTCATAGGCACTGCCAAGGATTTGTCGGCATTGCGCGAGAAGATACACAGCATTAATACGAAGAGCAATGCGCGCGTCCAGACGACCAGTCAGGATTTGCAGCGACTGCAGGCGGTGGTGCGTCATGGTGATCGCCAGCAGAAGCTGCAGCTGGACAAGCTCACCCAGGGATTTCAAGACGTTGTCGAGAAATACTCAATGCTGCAGAAGCGCATATCGCAGGCAACGCGACAAAGCTATCAGCTGGCCGCCGAGGCTGAGCGTGAGTCTGTCATGTCGGCCAGAACGGAGCTGCTGCAGCAGCAGCGCCAGGATCAAAACGAACTGGAGCAGCAGCATTCTATGCTCGTCGAGCGTCAGCGCCAAGTCGAACTAATTGAGGCCGATATACTCGATGTAAATGCCATTATGAACAAGCTAAGTACTATGGTGGTTGAGCAGCGAGCGGTGGTGGGTGAGTAAAAAATTGCATTACTTTCAAATTACGATATTGATAATGGAGCACTATATCGTATATCGGCAAAATTTAAACAAGTTTCGATAACAGTTGTGCAGCTAAACGATCAGCTATCGATAACAGTGCCTAAATCATAGAGGGGAATATCATTATCGTATCGAACCATCATAAATACAGATTTCAAATATTGAATTTAAATATCATTCCATATCGCAGATAACATGGAAACGCTTATTGATCGGACGGCCGCTGACGTGGAGGAGGGACGCAGTGAGCTGCAAAAGGCGGCTGCCAGTCGTAATAGCCACCGCCGTAAGATATTGATACTTTTAGTGATTGCTGTGATAATAGGATTAGTTGTAACTGGCATTATAGTCGGCAAATTGAGTTAATTGTTTTATAGATATATCTATATATATATATGCGTGTGTGTGTTTGTGTGTATATATATCTATATACATATATGCACATTACGTACATACACATAAAATAATTAACTAAAGTTTTGTAAAACTATTTTTATAAAAAATAATGCATTAATCACAAAGTGAGTAAACGCGCGCGCCAAGCGAGCAAAGACAAAACAGCAAAAAATTAAATACAAATACGAGTTTAAATCCGAAACGCGTTGTAGATTGTAGTTATGTGTATGAACAACAAAAATTATAAATATAAATTTAAATATATGTAAAAGAAATGGAACAGTTTAAAATAACACAATAACAATTTCAAATATTCAACGCTTTTAAATGTTAAATTATTTCCTGTTAAACAAAATATCAAAACAATAATTTGCGTATTGCATTGAATGTACAATTTGTTTTTGTAGTTAAGCGATTAAATAATATACTACGTTGAATAAACTCGGTTGATTGCTTATCGGTCTATATGCTTAAGACATTAAAAAAACATTTATATATAATCTGATTGATTTTATACATATATTTAATTAACCAAAGCCATTTAACTCGTAGTCCGAATTTAAATAAAAGCGCGATGATTAAAAACAATTTAATGAGCTTAAATGAGGAGCACGCTGTGGAGTAAACTAATGTAAGGGTTCATGTTATTACATTTGCGTTAACAGAATATTAAGAATGACTATCGACCGACCTCCACAAATTATCGGGCGTCAGCTGTTAAAAATTTGCGAAACGTGCTTTTGTTTGCAAGAACTTAAATCGCTTAAATTTAGTTTATTAGTACTATTAAAATGCCACAAGGTAAATTTAAAAAAGCCAAATTACCTGCTGCCATACAGAACAAGAAGAAGCAGCAGAAACAAGCAGCCTTCACACGCAGAGCAAGTGAGTAGCGCACTTTGGCAACAGGTTGCAATTGCTTACATGCGGCATTTTCATATATCTTGCAGATGCTCCCATACAAGCCAAGAAGGGAAAATTTAACGAAACCCAGAAAATCAAGGCGGTCATTTCCAAATCAGTTAATAAATGTGTCGAAAGCGAGCTGCGTTCGCGTGCACACGAAGGTTACATACAGCTAAGCAAAGCCCAAGAGGCGGTCGCCAAGCATCATTCGACGCAGGCCGCAGCCGCGGCAGCGGCAGCGACAGCCGCCAGCACAGACAAAGCGCGGGAATAGTCTTATATGAAAAACAGGTGTGTTTAATTCTTATTAGCTAAAGGATGCTTATATTAGTTGTATAGACAGAGTGGAACGATAAGGCCAGTCGGTCCGTCTTTTCTCAATTAACCAGATAATTGCTATTCAAATCTTATTCCTTTTATGAAAACGTTTTTCTTTTTTAAGATATATTGACCAAAGTTAACGTTATTTTGTTATATAGACTATCATCGGACTACTGTATCATAGGAGAGAAATCGATTCAAAGTTAAATTTGCTTGTGCTTAGTTTTGATTAATCCCAACTAAACCTAGCATTTACAAGCTTTTCGATACTTTTTGGATAAAAGATTTTTATCAGACTAGCTTTATTCAAAAATTAATGAAATGAGCTGTGCTTGGACAACTTTTTTATTTTTCTAGATATCTTGATCAAACTAATTTTCCAACGTATCTGATAAATATCTAACCAGAAGGCCTTAAGTATTGTTTACTAGAAGCGCGTTATTTTAAACATAATTATAAGCCATATGCTGAGTATTTATTCTTTCAAGTGTTGCCGTCTTTCATGACTGTCAAAGGAATGGGATTTGTCCGTTTATTATCTTCTTGAGGCAGATATGGTTAGATCAACTTGGCATTGCTAGGCAATAAATATGCTTTAAAGAGTTGGTGTTTTATGGGCCAAATGGTTTTATACGCTTTCTATACTCATTTCCAATGGGGCTCGACATGCAAAGAGGAATGCAGTGGGCTGCATCCCATCAAACTCGATTGCAAACAGCGAGTGGTGTTGTAATTGCAGGCTGAGTGCAGTTCATTTGCATGCTGTTGAATATGCAAAGGACACTTCAATTTTCGCAGCATAAAACTAAAAACGTAAAACGTTCAAAAACCCGCCGCATCCACCTGCGCAACTGGTCCGCACACCTGGGCGCTGTCGCCGTGTGAGCTAGCGCTCATTTGCATGCGATTGACTGGGGAATGGAAGGGCATGAGGTACGGAATCAAAGTGCAATACGAATCAGCATAGAAAAACAAAGACAACAACCAATTGACAGCGGATTTTTGCGTTATTCCATGCGGGGAGAGGGCTAATTAAAAGCGCATCAAAAGCGCCAAATTTGCATAGCAAACGAAACGAAACGTTGCAAAAATTAAATAAAAATTTGTTAGTTTCCCAATTTCTTTGTTTTTGCTTTTCTCTTTTACTTTTCACTTTTCATTCTGCCAATGTCGAAAAAGTTTCTTTTGATGAGCTGAGGACGGGCGTGGAGAGTTTGAAGCAAGCAACACGCCCAATAAATGTCAGCGCACAAAACTTTGTTACCAAACTATTTTTATAATTAAACAAACACAAACTAATTGCGATAAGTAGCAAAATGACTTGGCAATTTGTGAAACATTCCTTCTGCAGCCTGCGGCTCATAAATTACCCAAATGTCAAAGTTGCATGTTGCAGACGCATGTTGTTGTCGTTGTAGTTATTGTTGTGCCGGTTGGTCACTGATTCCTGATTTTCCTTTTTGTGTAGCTGCACAATTAATCCAACTTTTTCACTTTTATTCATTATTTCATATAACTTGAGAAAGTCCTTGTTTTGGTATTGGGTACAATTTTCAATTTCCTTAGCTATGATGTCCCCAAGTTGACAGGCAGTCGAAAGTATTGTTAATGTTGGTTCATTTGAATTGTCATGGAGATCCAGTGGAGCCATCCATGCTGATCTTAATCTCTTCTTACAGCCCATAGCAAAATCATTATTTTTGTCTTCTAAGATTGCTCATGTGGTTCTATAGAGGAAGATACTGGCATTGATAAAAGATAAAAGGTATTGCTTTATAACAATTCTCCAGACATGTCTCAATAACATATTTTTTCGCTATGATAGGTTTGTTCAAATTTTGGCCAGAAATCTAGTTTCTCTAGTTTCTCAACAACAGCACGTATACATGTCAACTCATTTATTTGCTCTTTGTCAACTAAATCCATCCACATTTTCCCTAATGTCTTGACGTTCATTATGTTCTTTGCAATTTTAAGTTTTACGAATCTTTTGCTCAGTTCCAAGTTTGTTGGCACAACAAGCAAATTTCAAATTAAGAAATATCTTATGAGCCAGGTTTTTCATGATTTGTTCCCATTTGGTCAAGTTATCTCGTCGTAATAACAAGTTTGCCCATCCTACTCACTTATCACATATGTTTATATAACCGGACTGTTATTTATGGCTCGCATGGGTCGCGAATAAAGTTTTATTTAAAAGTACTTTTAAGCTAATCTGGACTATATGTGTAAATCGAATTAGGTGTCACTAGAATTAGAGATATTAAGCGGCAGTATTCTAAATTGTATATGTAGGTCATAAATGCGACATAAAACTGCAGTTCGCATATCTGAAGGAAAAGGAAAAGCTCTCGCAAACTAAACGCATCAAATTCATCAGATTGAATCCGCTTATGGAACCAATTGATCAGTTTCTGACGCACTTGATTATCTTTCAGAAATTTTAAGCTAAAATGTGATTGACATTTTGCATTACAATTGATGGATACTGCATTTGGGTAGCTGTTTGATTGATTTACTACTGCTCTGCTCTCTCACAAGGCTTAAGGTCTGCACTTTAAAATAATAGGACACCCATGCACACAGCTGTGCCCAGGCGTTTGTCACACATCAGCACAAAGGATAATGAGCATTACAAAAGCGGAAATCACACGATCAAACATCCTTTACAAGTTTTTTTTTTTCATTTAAAATATATTTGCCCGCTACGCTTTACGCCCGAATGTGTGCCTTGAGCAGGCAGCACAACAACAACATGAAATGGAATAAATGTGGAAAAAAAAACTATTTGAATATCGACGTGTGGCCATTGTCCACTGTGCCCAGTCTGGAATGTACAGCCGGGCCTACCTGCGGCTGCCTCATTGTGTGCGAGGCGCGCATGTAAATTTGTCCAACTGGATGCAAAGACAAACACTTGAAACGTTGAAAGGACAAATGGACAAACGGCCGCCAGTTTGTGGCCACCTGCGGCATTTATTATTATTTTTTTCTCTTTCTGTTTTTGCATACAATCGCGACTGGGCCAAGAAATATGTGTGTCTGCGTGTGTGTGTCTGTGTCGGAAATTTGATTTATTTGACAATGGCAACGGCATTTAAATGCAGTTTTTCGGTTAAGGCCAACATTAAATTTGTACTTTTTCCTATTCTATTTTGTAGTTCATTTCATGTAAATGCTTGTCCCGAAAATAAGCTATCTGATGGACTCTAGCCTAAAACTGAAGCGGCTGAGAAGGGATGCTGCCTGAAGGGATTGCCTTATAAAGTGCCCATGGAAAAGATTTCGAATTGGGCTGCAGTTGATGATTGTATTGTTGTTTTTTATATATCTATTTAGAATTATATTCACATTCTGTTGATTTTCACACATTTTGAATTCACACTCCCATACAGTTTGCTTCAGTTTAATTGTTCGGTTTAATTACTTTCACATTGGTCCTTTCTGTGAAATGTATATGGCAAGGCATTTAAAATGCACGCTTAGCCATTGTTTAAATTTTAATACATATATGTTTTATGTAGCGCAACGGCGTTGATATCAAATTGTATCTACAACTTCAATTTAATTATAAGCCACGCACGGCTCATCAAAAAATTCTGCAGCAACCGTGTTGCAGGTGCAAATGCAGAACTTTACAGTCCGCATCGTCGTCGTCGCCACTCGCTAGCCGTCAGTCCTGAGCGATCCCAGCACATTTTCGGTTCCACATTATTATTATCCACGCTTTGTGGCCCGGCCTCGGTCCCCATTGCCGTCTCCGTCTCCGCGTCCATTCCCCTCCCGCTTTGGTCTGGTCAGGTTGGTCGACTTTGCCGCTTATTGAACGGCTCGACCGCGCTACAATTCATTTGCAAAGCGTATCCAAAAATGTTGATGGGATTATTATATGTTGCTGTTGAATGTTGGACTGCAGGTGGAATCCCAATATACCTGTATGCGTGTGTGTGTGTGTGTGTGTGTGTGTGTAGGTCTTTATCTTTTTAATGTCGTGGATTGCTTTGTGTTTTGCTTAAAGCATTAATTTATGTATTAAAAGTTAGAAATCCGTGTGGACAGGTGAATTTCAGTGCCCCTGCGTATTGTATACATGCATATTTCTGTGGCAGTCATGCTACAAATATATAATTTGGTATTGCTGCCAGTGAAATTGTTGATTATGTATGGAGTTGGTAATTTAAGGACAGGTGAGGCAAGTTCAAGCGAACGACGCCTGGGCATTCCTAAAGCGCGAGTGTGGGAAATAATCTTAGAACTTCTTGATGTAATCACTCGACGTTCAGTCAATAAAATTGACTTTTAAATAACTGCACACTTTGAATCTATAAATTGTATTCTCTACCCACCACACAGCTTAGATGTTATTTTCTGATTTCTTAGGTTTGTGCCTTAAGTTCATAAAATAATTTACAATTTTCTAAATTTGTGTTGCCCGAAGCAATCAGTAAACTCTAGTATTGAAGAGCTTACATATATGTTTTTAACTTCCGCCGGCTGCAAATTTAAACAAAAAATCGGAAGAAAAAAAAATCTGCTGGAAAAAGCGCGCACCGGATGTAAATGGGGCCCAGCTGCATGCCAAAATGCAATTGTCATCAATACGACGGCAACAACAATAACAGCAAGGACTACAAAGCCAATTCATAAAACAAAGGCGACCGACAACAACAACAGCAACAAAAGGCAAAAAAGCGAATTTCAATAACGGATGTAAATAAACCACAAAAGATCGATTACCTCCCCAGCGTGCGAGCAGCGGCAGGACTCACCTCACCTCACCTCACCTGCCTGCTGTCAGGATAACAGATGCGCGCACAGGTACAGCACACACAACTTTTATCTGGCATGCAAAAATATCAGTTAACTGCATAAACAACGCAACGCGAATAATATACAAGAAAAAACATTATTCAACTAAGAATTTAACATAAATGATGTGGAACCGCATAGTTATGAAACTCAATGTGCTTGACTATGAAATACCCTACAGTTTGCTTTAGTTTTGCGGCTTGATAAATAAGATTCGGATTGCCTTACATTATGGAAATCAAATAAACCCTTGTGCATACCCAATCTAATCAATATGAAACAGGGTATAAACAGCTGTCCCGCCGACAAAAAATCCTGCGTGTTGCTTAAAAAAAAGTGCCAAGTTGAAATTTATTTAAGCTGTTAAAGAAAAAAAAACGCAGCAGCCGCAGGCGCAGGCAGCGTCGGCCACTCGTTAAGCTGGACAACAACAAGAACAACAACAACAACAAAAGCTCATTAAGGTATTGCACCTGGTGCATCTGGAAGACGAGAGCTAAAACTGAAATTGAAACTGAAACTGGTCGCGGGTTGTGCGCCTGCGCAGAGATCGGCTGCCTTGGCGCTGTGGGGCAATATTATGGATATATATATATAAATGAGATAAAACTGCGGGCAGGGAGCATCCAGCATAAATGTGTTGATATTATTACGGTAAACAGTCTGATGCATTTTAAATTGAATTTAAGATCAACTCTCCACTCTCTCTAATTCGGCTCGGAAAGTGGTCCATAATGGGACGCACTGTGTCGTCATCAAGCTGATGACCCAGCGATTTAGCTGAAATGGTTTATTGAAAAGCCATCAGCTCTGAATGGGTAAAAGTTTGCACAGCGTTGATTATAATACTTAAACTTATATGTGTTGTTAGCCATAGTGACCCATTTACTGGCTGGCCAATTGTTGTAAAGGGCCAATTCCTTGGAACAACAACCATAATTCAAAAGTCAGCACTGCGCCTCATTGTAAATGCATTAACTCAAAAGAAACAGCCGTCTCAAGGTGTAAAGAAAAAGGTGCTCGGCCGACAAAGAGACCAGCTCAGAACGCCTACAGATGCACAATGCCTCAATAGAAACAGTTGCACACAAAACCAAATTGCCAGCATTGTAGCAAGGACGAAGCGCATTAATCATGAAACAAAAAATGTTGCTCCGGCATACACCATATACATATAGTATATGACCAGGGCCATAAATGTCTCCAATGCTTTAATAAAGTAAGCAATGCGAATGTTTCATTGCAAGCAGCTGAAAAGAAAAAAAAAGAAAAAAAAAATACAAACACATGCACAGGCAGCATCCGTGCTGGCCGAGTCCTTGCGGTCAAGATTGGGAAACAATGGTCGAGGGTCGAGGCAAAAGTCATTTGAGATTCATTAAAGAAAAATTACACGACGTTTTGTGGAGCAATTACCAGGTGTAAAAATGCTCAAGGGCGTGGACTAATTATTCGACTCGGCTCAACTTGCGAAATGCTCCATGCAGGACTCTCTGGGCGCATGCATGACAAATGCAAGGGGCAGGACTCGGCCCATGGACGTAGTTTCACTTTGGTTCCTCGTAATCAAATCCAGAGTCCCAGCGTGCGCTGTAATTTTGTGCGTCTTTTGTCCGTTTGTTATCCAATTGTTGTGCAGCCTTTGTCGGAAGTTTTATTGAAAAGCATCGACTATTGGTATCGAGCAGCTATGTTCTGATTCCTTTGGTCGGGCTCGACGTATTGTCAATTGTGCGTCGCTACTGAAGCGTTATTAATGTTGGTCGGTCACTGGCCAAAAGTAGATTTCGAGTACTGTGCCGCTTGATTTGTGCGGCGGAGTATTTGATTTGACAGCTGAAAATACGTGGAAAACTATTGGTAGTGGGAGACTCTTGGTCTGATGATTAATTAACAGTCGGTAACGCATTTTTCAATGTTAAAAAAAAAAGAATCAAATATATATTATGATATGTATATCTGGTCTAAGCAATTACATATGCATAATAAGCATCTAACAATATACCAGGCTAAGATTTGATTCAATTAAAGAGACCTAGGAGTCTGTCTATAAGAAAGTCTCCTATAATGAAATACACCTTGATATAGTTGAAAGTATTTGATATTTAATTATTCAATAATTAATTTCATAAAAGTATTTAAGTTTGTTTTTTTTTTTTATATATTTAATTCATCTATAATTTATTATTTTATCTTTACCTCCTTTGTGTTTGCGACTGACTGTGTTGGGGACAAAAAAATATTTATATAATATTTTAATTTTGTATATTTCGTAACTCGGCATATTTGTAATATGTCTGCTTTTCTTAAATTTGTCTTGTCTAAATTTGTCGTTCATATATATTTTGAATATTTGTATACCCTGTAACCATTGAAAATTGGCAAGACTTCTCTGAATCTAAAAAGTAAATGTATATATTTGATATTAGCATGCGTTTGTCCGTCTAAAACTGTTCGATGTATGAATGTTAATTAACTGTTTGCTGAGCGTAATATTGTCTGTGAGGCATAAACGGCAAATATTTTCCCGTATAGTTCTGAAGTTTATGTACATGTTACCGCAGCTGCTTAAAGGATATCAGGTAGTCGGTCACACACTCGTTAAACGTTTATTTTACTCTTTACCTGACTTAAACACGCTTCTTTCTCGATTATTATCTTTGCAAATGATTTCTTGGCTTAGGCCTGATGCCCACATGCACTCAATTTACCCTTTGCCTTTGACAAATATCGACGAATCGCTTATAATCGTTTTGCCTAGCATAAACTTATCGAGAATCCATCTAAATTTTGCACATGCCAAAGGTGCTTTGTGCATGGCAAATGCAAAACACTTAACTGGGCCCAGACCACCGACTATTAGGGACTGCCGCTATCGTATCAGCCGGCACATCAGCAGGCAGCTCGAAGGCAGCTATGGGCCATTTCCGAAACTAAGTGTTGGGTTGTTCCTGTCTTTCGGGCCACCACTTCCTTGGCATTGTGGTTGAGCACGGGAGGTGTATTCAATATATATATATATACATATTTTTATTTATTTTGGCAAGCGTCTCATGTGACAACGCGTTGCACAGAGGAAATAGGTGTATATGTTGTGGTTGATTCAGGCTGGCTGCCATAAACAGGATACCTGTACCTTGGAGTGGGAGGCGAGGGATGCTGTTGCTGCCGTAAGCTGATACGAGCACGTTGGGAGCGCGCAATTTTGGCATTAGTCTAAAATGCGGTCTGGCATTTAATTTCTATTTCAACATTTCATTGAAATTTGAGCGTTTACCACAGGTGTGCAGGGCAACAGGGGATACGGTAACCTCTGGAAATAACAGGGAGATAGAGGGCTGAGAACTGGGACTTGGCAGCGCCGTTGCAGGTTTTTTCCTTGCATTTGTTTGCTCTTCCTTGGTCATGCTATTCAGTTAGGTGTATTTACTGTTAGTCCATCGCTTATATATTTATTTTACCTTTGAGAATTTCAGCTCAAATTGTGCGTGCTATACACAGTTGACATGTCAGGTCGGGGCAGGTCTGCGACTTCTGGGGCTTACCTGTGGGCCACTCGCTCTTGGCGCTCCTTAAAATGTCAAATGTCCTGGCAGCGGGAACGTCACATGTGGCGTTTGCTGCTAATGGAAATTGTGGCAAGCAACTGACGCACGACGACTTCCTGCCATGTAACTGGAAATTTATGCTAAAAAGCTGTTACTTAGGCGTTTCTTGTGGAAGGATGTGGGTGGGCATGGCGGGTGTTATCATCAGACATTTTTGGAGGCCTTTTGGCCTCTGGTTATTTGTGTGAAAAGAAAAAACAAATTTTTGTTATTTTACTCCAAGGGTATAATTACTTTGTGAGAATGATTGGAACTTCAAAGAAATATTCTTTTAAGGGAAATAATAAACGATTATATATTCCATAGGATTTTGAAATGTGTTACGATCAAAAGAAATAGTATATTGCTATATAACGTTTCTATTCTTGACTATCACCAAATCAATTTAAAAACTCGATTGTATTACTCTGATAATTGAACGCACTTAAAAATCGAATCAAGAGTATATGTAACAGGCCGTTTTGTCATCTCTATTGGATTGAGAAGCCCTCAAAGAGGTGTTTCTGACACTAGATAGCTTCTGATTGTAATATTTTAACTTGTTTTAGTGGAACAGCTTTTCAATTAGACTAAATCTCTTCCATAATCAAGCACTTACGCACAATGCAAGTGTATTAACATTTCGTTTTGGCCGTGGAAATGTATCTGTTTTTCCTTGGTGAATCCCAGCTCGTGTATGATCTGTGCGTCCTATTCTGTTGGCCTGCGGCACGTGGCATGTTTTTGCCTCAAGTTCACACTTAACAAACAACTGTACAGAAGGCTGGGGCTGCCCTTTGGCCTATGCGTTGGTTGGTGGCGCTGGTTTGCTTTTTGTCTGTTCGAGTCTCCATCGCATAATTTTTCACTTGTATCCTTTTGTGTATGTATTCCTTGGTGTTGCACACATGCAAAGCACAAGGCTTTTATATTTGTATGTGCCTTTATTTTGTGTGTGTGTGTGTGTGTGTTTTTTTTTGCTTTGTACACACCCACATGGGCCTTTCCATTTCAATCCTTACGTGTGTGTGTGTGTCCGTTTCGACTGTTGATAAATTTGCTTAGATTATTATCCTGGTGCGGTCTGCTTTCTGGCGTTATCTTGTGCAGTAATTAGTCTCGAGCTTGTTTGCGCCGCATTTACACAAAATGCTTTTTACGGCGCCACACGCACAGGACTCCACAAACAAAACAGGAAGTTAGACGGGGTCTGCCTGATAATGTACAATAGAGCTCAGAATACATTTATTCTTGTTGGACTTTCGTGTGAGTCGACTGTGAGTTAAGAGCGGTTGGAGGTAGGCTAAGCAAATTGCTTTCCATGTGAGGATTGCCTGAGTAATGCTTAAATGCAAGCCGCTTGCTGAATTAAAAGTTGGATAAGTGTAAATTAACTCGTTTAAAACTCCTTTTTGAAATGTTTATTAAGAAATCTTATTTCGATAAGAGTTTCTCATTACTTCTGAATACGGTGGGACAACTTTAGTTATAGAAGAACTTATCCGAAGAAATGAAGTATTGATGCGCTTTTCTTTGTAAATAATAACAGCTAGAGATGAATCGGCACCTTATCTTATAGAGGGTTGAGGTCGAATTTTCCGGAAGCTTCAGTTATACTTTTTACTGTCTAGCTTCTGTGGCTTGGGCCTTGCGATGATCACCAATCAGTCAGGGAAATAAACTCTATGCAGATTACTTAAAAGGTTTCCTTTCGACCAAAAAGAAATGCAATTCAATTTAACACGCTGATTTATTTAAATATAGGTACTCATCGCGATCCCTGCGGAAGTTATCAGAAAAATGGGCGGCTAATCTAATAGTTGATATGATAATCAACCTACCAACATGTACGTTTTGTCTTAACAATTCCTGCTCTTCTTTCCAAAGAACTTTGCCGTCAAAGGACTTGTCCTGCCATAGATCATTGTAGAACAAAGGGCGGCAACCTCAAAATATTTGCAATGCTGCCCAGCAGTATAATAACTAAATCTTTGTTAGGTTCTAGTAAACATGTTGCAACATGCGTTAAGACGCTTAAGCCCAGCTCGTTGTGCCTAAGCCGTGGGATTAAATTGGATCAAGGAGTTGCCGAAAATGTGCCTTAAAGGTAAAAGGTGAAATTTTCTGCTGGGGCGTTTTTTTTTACGGGAATTGATCCCTTTTTTGCCGTTGGCTGTAGGTGTAGACCGCATAATTTTGCACTCAATAGTAAATAGAAACCTCAAACCAAGGCAGGCGAGTTTTTTCGTCGCCCTGGCTAAGTCCATCAATCATTTCTTAGCCGGCCGTCAGGGCAGCCAGGCACATTAGCATTTATGAAGTTTGCCCGGTGAATTTTTTCGGTCTTAGCCGAACAAAAGGCTCATTCAGTGTTCGCCTGGCTGGTTGACTTTAATAAGATTTTCATAATTTCATGCGCTTGTGCATATTTGGAGTCAATTAATGTCAAAGTAGTTTGGAAGCGCTGCGCAATCGATCAAATTATAAATGCAGTGCCTCGGCAGGAGGAGAGGCGTTTAAATGTCTGCCGGATTATGTTGGTGCAATGAAATTATGGGGCAGTTTTTATATGCCATACATGAATATGAATGATGATGACTTGGGCCAATGTTATATGACCTTTTCCCCTGCATTATGCAACAAAAATGATGACTTTTCCTGGGTGTTGATGTTAGCGATAAGGTGGAAGGAAGGCTTTGTGGGAACAGTGACAACAGCTAATGATTAGACACTGCTGCATTTCTCATCAATTAGATATGCTCATGCTTAGTTAGTTAGATAGTTAAGATTCTTGGATAAGAATGTCGAAATACGTCAGTCAAATGAAACTAATCGAAAAGTGCATGGGAGGAAAGTTGGTTAAAGACTTTCAATGATCGAGTAAGTATTCAAATAATTTATTATAATAATAATCCAAATGCTAAACTCTTGCTCTTTACTCTAGTTTATCATATTGTTATTGTCTCATAAATTAATTTTCATTTTTTACTTTTGAATTATAAATGTTGTTAACTGATAATAATTATTTATTTATATTTACAGCTCTCACAATTGTTTGGCATTATTCTTTTTGGTTAACCCAACCATTTAAATCCCGTACACAAAACATTTCATTAACTAAATTAAAATAAAACCGGGATAACCCACAAACAGTCAAACGGATTTTGTTGGTATGTGTTTTTATATTAAAAGCGTCATTTTAAATGCCATTTCGTGTTATGCACTTAATCCAATTGTTGAGGCGTGTAAAAACGTCACGTTATCAAGTTGAACAATAATAATACAAAAAAAATTTAATAATAATAATAATAACCGACAAGGTAATTAGTTAGTTTATAATTTAATATAAACTGCTCATTTGTGAATTTAATTAATGTTTATATGCGCGTGTCAAAGTGGATTAAGGTCTAATTTAATAACCGACTAGTGAAATTGTGGAAAAAATCATCATGTATTTTATATAAATTCAATAAACAAAAGCATTATAAACAATTAGAGATAGCGACACCGGCAGCGATAAACTAAAAAGCGTTGAAATGTAGCTGCTAATGCAGTTTTTCCTGCGCCTGATTTATGACACGAACAGCACACAACTGTCGACTGTCAGGGATTGGATGGCTGGCTGCATATGATATGTTATGGATACTTAGACCGTCCAACATTTGTTGACACATGCTGCTGATGATACTCGGGGTAAACCACAGCAGCTACAACAAGTCACAAGAACGCCCACAGATGTCATTGAGAGCCGACTACTTTAAGGAGCTGTCAATTTCTTAGGATATTACTAAGGATAATGCATCCCTTGAATGTAATTTATGCATGTCAGCGCTGAAGTGGATATGTTATGCCTTGAGCCGCATCCACGCCTGCGCACAGCTGTGGCCGCGTGGCTGGCTTGTAACCTTAGACAACTCCCAATGCTCAGAGTAGGCTGTGCCTGGTTGGCCACGCCAAATGCCAAGTTAATCATATTGTTGACTGCAACTGCAACTAATTACAAATCAATTTGTATCAGCCCCGCTTAAAAAAACGAAACCAAAGCAAAGCAATTCCCCACAGGAAATGAATGCGGCCTGGCCTGGCCACAAACACCTGCCGTTTTATGTGGTCGCCACATTGACAAGTCTATTAAATGTTATAGTATGTGTGTTTTAGTATATATAGAATACTACTAATTTAAAGTGTAATTCCAAACAGCAAATGAAACCTATGTGCCATAAATCAGCGACTCCACTTTGAGGTGCAGTAACATAATAAACCCACAAACAGAGAAATATCCGTTTGAAGTGCGACTTTTATGTGCCTCCAAGTTGTAAGCAATGTCAGGATCGAGTCGATGTTTGCTCACACCAAAATCAGCTCACACCCGGCAATCAATAGATGGCTTGGCAACATGGTATGCTGCTCTGCAGACTTAGGGCACGCTACAATTGGCACTGCCCAGGAGGAGTTTTTTTCGCCTCTGCTGTAAAACCTGGTTCTCAATTGTGGATGCAGGACTATAGCAGAACAAACTGGTTCTCATGATAACGGCTAAATTTTTACCCACAATCTGTGAGACGCTTGGACTCTGCTCTCGGTTGTATCCTGCAGTATGCACAGGAAATTGGTCTGTGACTCAATTCACAAAAGACCAAACTGATATTCTTTACAGGAAAATATGAAGTACTCTAATTGAAAATGTGGACTCAAAATATTTTTCAGAGAGGAGCTCTGAGAAGAGAATGAGGAAGACAATACGGCTCCTTTTGCATCAGAGGGAGTTTTGGTGGGAGTTTTACATTCACATTCATTCACATTCATTAAAAACTGCGAAATGGCTGCCCGTCTTTGTGTAATAGGATCTGCACCTTGGATCTGGCTTAAATAGGCATTTATCTTATTCATACGCAACTAGGAGGTCAATTAAACTCCACGAAACTCCCGTAGCCAAATGTTTCATGCAACAGCCGGATAGGTGATAACTTTATGTAGGCTGGGAGCGGAAACTTTCCTTGAGGAGGAACGAGCTCATCATTTACCGTGTCGAAAATGGAAGATGGAACAGGGATCGGCAGCTTTTCGAAGGAGCTGACAACATAACTATCTTACTGTCTACTGAGCTAGTGTAGTATTTTAAGCAGAGATCTATTCTGTCTCCTAACCAACTGCACTCATCAGCACTATGGGGGAGATTCCATGGGACATATCATTATCATCATCAATCATCTCACACTGCCAATAGCAAACTCTTTCACAACACGACGAGATGGCGGACGAATGCGTAAGGATTGAATTGGATTGTCAACGGAACTTATTTTCACTTTACGGTCCGGAATTATGCCTTTGATATTCCTAAAAGATAAAATGTTCTTTGATTGATATACGCACATTTTAAAGGCCTATAATTTATCACAGTTTATATAATCTTATATTATATACGTGTTAAAATTCTAAGGCTGTTACCAGTCGAATAAAATAGCTTCCTCAACTTTCATCTCAAAAATGCTCCCTTGCCATTATTGGCACTTAAGTTTTAGGAATCCTTTTCTCAACATTACGACGCAAATAAGCACTTCAGCCTCGCTGCCTGGCCATTATGCCCGGAGGACTGAAGGCATTTGTATTCTAATTATGATTTCAATAGATTGTGCAAAATCAAAGAAGGCGTAATTCGCTCTCACCAGTCCGTCAAAGAGCGAAGAGCGTCTTTTAAACAATACCAAAGTCCCTTTAAGGCGGCAAATCAAATCAAAGAAATAACAAACAGCCAAAAAAATAATAATAAATAAAAAGGAGTACAAAATCTGGCCCTGAAACTACAAAAAATATGTGTAGCTGTGTGTGTATTGTGTGTGGACATATGTATGCCATTGTTGACAGGCTCAGACCGCAGACAAAAGGAGTTCTCTTTTTGTGTTAGCCTACAAAAGAAGCGGAAAAAGCGATCAAAGAGGCAAAGAGCTGCTAAAAAAAAAAAACAACAACAATAAATAATTGAAAGAAAGAATGCTGAACTCTGCGCCTTGTTCTTGAACAAAACGCGAGGCATCAACACACATCCCCTTGTGCCCAGCGTGCTCATACTACATGTGTGTTTGCGGATTCAGTTTGTGGCCAGCTTAGGACCGTACTCATCACCATCATCTGCTTTGGTTGCTAGGACGGGGCGGTGTCTTAAGCGCTTTAAGTGAAATTAAAACATTTCACACAGCAGGCGAGCGCCTTTAGTTGGCTGCTTGTTATGCAAACATTGCCACAGATTTTCGTATTTATTTTTGTAAAATACACTGCTAAAATTTGTTGGTGTTATTTAAACCAAATTGAAACTAGAGCTGTGTAGAAGAAAGAAATTCCGAACATCGACCTGCCCAATCCGAAACAGATCCTTTTCCAGTCCCGTTCCGAGGTTTTCTTTAGATGAATCCCGTTTCCAACCGAAATTTCTTTCTCCCTATGCGTAGTTTCATTTTCCCAGTTTTATTAAATAAACGTATTATAAACATGGTTGTTAAAATAAAATTTATATTCAAAAAACATTATGATTTACTGTTTTTAACATATGAGTTAAAATATTTTAATTTAATCAAAATACTACGTCAATTTTAAATTTATTAGTATTTTTAAGTTCCAACCGGTTTCTCATTGGATTCCTGTCCTTCTTGAGTTTGAAAGAGAAGTTTTTAAAGAAAAGTAATCCTGAAGTCTTGCTGTAGCGTAGTAGAATTAGGTTTTTTCTTTTTATAAGAATTATATTTGGCTAAGCACTTGGCTAATTTATTTAGGAGCAGTTTGCTGTTGTATGCGTTCTTTGAGTGCACTCACGCTCTCCTCAGATTTAGAGCATAACGCTTATCATGTCCAGCATACTGTGTGCACAACCGGCCACGTAATCAGCACAGTTTAAGCCGCGCGTGCCCAGCTCTGTGGCCTCATAGAGGCTATCCACGTGCTGTAGTCGCTGTTCGGCGGCGCTTGTCGTTGGCCTGTGTGAGAGGCGTGAGGCCACTAATTAGATCTGAAAATTTGTCCAGGCATGGGGTCACACACAATAGCCCCAACTTACATGAATAGAATTTTGAATATGCTGCCCAATACGCCGTTGTGTGCATCCAGTGGTGCAGCGGTCACCTCACAGATGGTGCGCAGCAAACAGGCGCTGCCATTGTAGCCATACTGACCCAAATAGCTAACAATCGCTCTGTAGAAGTCGTGACGTGTAAAACGGGGCGGTGTCGAAATCGAACGTTTCTCCAGTTTATCGTCATTGCGTCCATCTATGGGCGTCACATCGCTACCAATGCCGAGAAATCCCTCGTCCAGATCCCACTTTAAGTTAAAGCATTATTTGGGCACAGCGGGAATTCAAGATCTGTTCACTTACCCTATCAATCCACTGATTGTAAGAGTCATTCGACGGCAGACCATAGTTGGACTCGAAGTTGAAGGCCATGTACACATTGCGATACGTAAGGTCCAACGGAATGGCAACTGCAGCTAGTAACTGGAATGCACAAGTAATTAAATCAGTTTGGTTAAAGATTTTGCTTTGCTTACACCTATGGAACCGCCACGTGGAAAGAACAGCACTGCACTAGTCAGCTTGACAGACAGTACAATAAGAATGAATCCAACTAGGAGGTGGCAACAATAACGCGAGCGATTGGAACTCATCGCGAACAATGCGCTAAGTGAACTGTTTGCAGTTTTCAGTTGCAAGTTCCATATAAGTTGTAGAAAATTGCAAGTGGAAGGTGCAATAGAAAAGCTAACAAAAGAAGAAAAGGCATCAGTCAAGTACAGGGTGTGACTTTTCGACTAAAATGCGAGTAGCTACCTCAAAAGACTGCTCTTAAACATATTTCAATTCGATTGAACTGGTTCCTTTTGGCTTGCTCACAAAAATACTTATTAGAGCTGGTTCAAACCAATTTTTATTTTTATTGTACCCAACAAAACTCGTATTATAAAAAATAACGGCAAGCTTTACTAAAGGTCTAAATAAAAGACTTTTATTAAAAGAATGTGTTTAACATGTGAACGCGTTCAAAACAATCCTTTGTTTGTCAGGATATTTGTTATTAACAATGTTAACTACTTAGTTTAAAACAGGGCTTTCATATAGGACAAATTTTATAAAAAACTTAAATAACTTAGTTAAAAAGAATGTTTTGGTTCCCAAAAAAGAAAATATAATAGAAGATATAATGCAATTTTAATAAGTGTCGATGTAATATTACTTATAGTTTTTGTCCTTGTTCGGGGCAACGTTCTGCTAATACTTATTCGGTCTTATTTATATAAATAAAAGTTAATAAATTACAATGCATACGATTGAAATACATCATACATTCTCTGCACAAGACTATTGCTGAACTCGGACTAGACATCAAATTATGAATGAATTTCCAATGGAATTAAGTTGTGGTCCGATTAAACCCAAGATCTAAGCTTGTGTCTGACAGCTATAACTGGAATATGCAAGTTTTACACAGTTTCCGCATGAACTGACCAAGTAACTTGGCCATCCAGCAAGAAGCATGTGGCAAGCGTCAATTAGTTGGTGATAATTAAAAGAATTTGTAAAAAGTAAAAAGTTGCAGCCAGAAAGAAGAATCAATTCTTTCTAAACAAATTCAACATGCCGTGGCTCAGTTCGGTAATAAATGCGTTAGCTAGAACTTTGAGAAGGTTTTTTTTTTGTCAGTTTGTGAGATTCAGTAACGCGCTGCTGAGCAAAGCATTGACAACGTGCGCATCGTGTGTTGATTTATTATAAAAATACCCACATATAAATAGAACATATAGAATATGAAAGCAAGAATATTGCTGACTATAGGTAGTTGTCTATTTATAAGTTTACTAAGTAATTCGTTCTCAAGTGCGACTGCCACTTACGGTAGTCTATCAAAACATGAGCGTACCAAACGAACGCCAATACCGTGGCTTGTCTTTCCAACGACCTCACCCACTCGCGTTATGGTGAGTAAAAGTGTGAACGTGATTTAGTGATTGATTAAAGGAAAATCCCATATAAAATTAGTTCATTGGCGGCATTGGTATACCGCTGGAGGATCTTGAATACGAGGCTGTGACAACAGGCTATGTTCTAAAGGCGGAGTACTGGCTGCCCGAAACGCCGGATTCATTGCGTACGCCCACAGCATTGCCACTTAACCAGGTGCCCACGTTGGGATCTGTTGGTGCGCGCAGACGTCGACCTATGTTTGAGAACTTTCTGGTTGACGCCAATGAATTGGGCAAGAGCACAAGGAAGCTGCTAACGAGAACCAACAAAGTGTTGAGCAGCTATCGTTGGACGATGTACAAGGGCTTAGAGGGTTTGGCTAAGCGCCTGGGCTATCAGGGGCGCATTTGTGTGCTGAAAAGCATTTGCGAGGCAGCCGAGGAGCCTTTTCATATTGCAAACGGCCTCATTGCCGACCTTTTGCATATACTGCTGACGTAAGTAGAGCTGTGGTTTAATGCACAACATAGCCCATAGACTTGATCTGTTAATAGACCCTCTTCATCGGTGGATAAGCTGTCAGAGCATGCGGATAATGAGTATTACTATGCCGAGAAGGTGGGCCAATCGGGCGCTGGCTGTGACCGAGTGTTTAAGGAATGCCATCGCAGTTTGTTGCAACATTTTAGCGAACTACATGACAATCTGGACAAATTTATGTATTAGTTAATAAAAGACAAACGAAGAAACAAAGTATAAGTACCTAATAAATAGCATATAATCTTTTTAAAAACTATTTTGCGATCATTTTTTTTCAAAGCTTATATTTAAGCTAACTGTAAAAATTCTTGTTAAGAGGACAACAATCTTACAACAATTTGATAAAAATGTTTATCATTGTTTAAGAAACTGGGTTAACTTTCAGATGTTATACTTTTGAATATAAATCATGCCTAGTGAACTTCATGGAACTAATAGACCGTTTAGGTGTTAATTAATAGAACGCGAAGTCTACTGTTTTTAGAAAACTCACACATTCCCATAGCGATAAGTTAAATGGGCACACAGTAGTGTCAGAAATATTTAGCGAGGCTCTTAAGCTTCAACGGACTCGAGACAAATTTGTTTTATCTGTTGGCACTTTCGGTTTTTTTTTTTGTTTTTTATTATATAGTTTTCAATAGAAGAAAGTAAGTTGCTTTCTTTTACAAAGTTTTTTGGCATAGTTAAGAGCTAACACTGGAACTGTGCGGTTTGGCAGTAGTTGAGAGCAGCGTGACAAGGATACACAGGAAAACAATAATATGATCATAATTTTGCATCTAAAATGGTTTATAGCGCTATGCTGGGCTTATTTGGCTGTTGTTCTAGCTTACAATCAAAACTTTAGCCATGAGCTACATGATGAAAGTGATCTGTTGGTGCGAAAGGCACGTTGGTTGCCACTGATCTACCCACCTACCCATGCCGCCAGATTAAAAGTCGGTACGCACTATTGACTAGGATCGTTATAATGCTAATATGTTTCCACTGCAGTTTATTGCGGGCTTTGGTATACCCGTGGAAGATCTTAAATTTGAGTCCGTTACCACGGGTTATGTGCTCAAGGCAAGCTATTATTTGCCCAACTCCGCCAAGCAAATACGCACAAAGGACGTGCACGACATAACCGAACGGAAGTTTATGGATAATGCAACCATATTTCAGCAGGCCATACGGAAGAGCGACGAGGAACTGGGTCTGGCCACAAGACTTATGGAAGAGACATCGCAGGCCCTCAGTGACTATCGCTGGGCTGTTTACAAGAGTTTTGAGACTATGGCGATACGGATGCATCTGAATGGACGGCAGTGTGTTTTGAAGAGCATTTGCGAGAGTTCCGCTTCACCGTTCGATGAGCGCAACGGACTGCTGGGAGAGCTCCTGCACATATTGCTGACGTGAGTAAAGGACGACGCGTTAATAATTCACTAATTAACTGGATCTTGAAAGTCCTTCCAGCTCAATAGATGCCCTGTCAGAGCACACGGATAACGATTATCTACAGGCCGAACGTTTGGGGCATGCGGGCGTCGATTGTGATAAGGTCTATGCAAAATGTGAAAAATCACTCTTGGAGCACTTTTCAGATGTGCATCATTTGGGCAGTGAATTTCTCAATATGTTGGGCTAAACATTTTGAAAATATTTTAAATAGAAATATTTCGAAATGTTTTATAAAAACACTCACAGTATAGGTGGGAAATTCGATTATTTCTTAACCAAATCAACAAATAGTTGTGTATCAATTAATCTGGTGATACACTTACTATTGCAATTTAAACAAATATTTCGTGTTATTGTATTCAAAATACTATAAGTATTACAAAAGCTATTTTCTGAATTATCAGAGCGCTAATTTTAGCTAACCATAAAAGTTCCTAATATCTGTATTAATCTACATTAAAAAATACTTAAGATATTTTTACAACTTGCTACATTAATCCTTTTATTTGTGTATTAGGTATATATTCTTAATCATCATCAACAGCCCAGTCGATCCAAACATGTCCGTCAGTCCGCGAGTCCGAATTTGGAGACCTTAGAAGACTTGCTTCCAAGCAATCGATACAAGTCGATATGAAATTATGATTTTGTTTTACAAATCTCTTTTAGGTTTCAGTGAGTAAATTTAGCATGTAAAGTAAACACATATCAGGTATATATAGTATCTGTGCTTCTTAGCTTATGTACTCCAAACAGAAAGACAGCTTGGACTCCGACATTTGATTACCTTGTTGTCAAATTCAATTTAGGTATTAGTGAAGAAAAATGACTTCCCTGCTCTGGACACCCACATTGAAGAGCGAACAGTGATTAAGAAATTAGTTTTCCATACTTTGAATACTTTAAAAATGGCTGTGAAAACAACGTTTCTGGCATTCTAACAACTTCCTCTATGCATCATTTCACTGTCAAGCGTGAAATTTATGCAAATTTGTACATAATAACTCTTTTTGTTTTCTATTTATGGCTTGGGTTCAACTTGAACTTGGTATCCATCTAGCTGCAACCATCTTGCAGCTCTTTCTCCACGCTCGGGTGGTCGCTTTTTCTGCCTAACAAAATGTACGCATCTTGCAGGTCTTTAGCCGATGCCAGGGCAAACGCATTGTCTTTTAATTTAATAATTATAGTTGGGGTCATGGATAGCATTAGCTACTGGGTCTTAAGACCCACCACCGATGTTTGTATTGCCCTATGTTGCTGGCCTGGCCAACAAATAGGCGTTTAAATGCAAATGTCGGCGCTGTAATTAATACGCATAATACGCGTATTATGCTAATGCCAATGCTTTAATGACTTGGCCCAAAACTTCGTCGTGGAAAGACAAAAACTATGCTTTTGACACTTGAAATGCAGTCGACGCGATCATATATTCGTCACTGCGATCCATTGTTAATGCTTTTACGTACTAATTAGCTTTGACAAAACAACACAGCTACTAAAAAATTAGTAGGTAGAGGGTCTTAGTCTGAGTTGAGTCTGTGTCTGAGTCTGAGTCTGGCTCTGGGTTATGGCTTTGGGGGTTTTTTTTTGTGGGATCTGCGGGTCATCGTCTGTGACTTTCTCTAATGAAGTTCCCAGCGAGTGGCTTTTAATTTGTTGTTGTTTGGTTCTGGTACACTTGTGCATCATTTCGAATGATGACAACATGTGATAAGAGCTGCATATTTGACAGGAGTCCCCAATCCACAAGACTAAGGCCAATGAATGTGTCTGCAGTCGCTGGGATCGTAGGATCCGCCATAAACTAGAATCTCTGGTCGAGATAATCACAGTGCGATGATGCTGTTGCAGTTGTTTTTTTTTTTTTTTTGTTTTATATTTATTTATTTAGTGTAGCTTAATAGTTGCCAGTCACCTTTCACAAGTTTCATGTTGTTGTGATTACCTTTAACCCTTGCCTGTTTGTTTTGGGGCAATAATTTTTATTTCCATTGCCTTTCTTTGGAAACAATTTGTAGCAACATGCAACTTAACGAAGTAATCAGAGTGTGTGTGCGCTTGGAGTTGCAGGCCACAGGAAGAGTCTGGGGCAGAGTCAGATGCTTATCCCGCCAGGTTGCGACAACTATTTTATGACCTTATATGCGAGTGGGGGGGAGGTGCTTGCTGTCTGCTCAGTGCTTCTTTATTTGGCTGAATGGCTATTTTTGGTAACCCCTTTTATTTGCCTTTGGCGAAAGTAGGTCCCCGTCTCGGTGCCTGGGTTTTGTTTCGTTTTTGCCCAAAGTTGGCAACTGGTGTTATATTTTTGTGCGCCTGAGCTAAAATGTAACAAATAGCTCTAGGTCGAGGTCGGGGCTGGAGGTGGGCAGTATTTCTCTTTCTCTCTTTCTCTGCTTCTCTATTTTATGGAGTACGTATGTTAGTTATTGTAAGTTAACAACTGTCTCCATGGCCATGCTAATTATGTGAGCATGAGCTGTTTTATATATCTTGCGAGAGTGTTGCTCGCTGTAAGAAAAAGGTAATAAAGTTAAAGTTGCAATGTGGATAAGTAGAACATATATATTCTGTTGTTAATTATAAAAAATAGATTTATCTAATAAATTTTCTGCACAAATATATCTAAATCCCAAATAACTTAACTATATTTTTTAATATAGTTTATTGCATTATGATTTAGCTTTAGAAGCGTTTTTTCAATTTGTATATATCTATTTTTTCTATATAATTTATTATCTCATTAGCTATCGCAATTTGTTTATCTTCCTATTTTACACAATTTCTGAAAATATCTTAAGAACTTTATATGTTTAATTAAACCATAAAGAATCGCACATTTATACGAGTTGCTGTGATTGGAGGCTCGGACTACACGTTTTTTTTTATGGCGCAATGCTGCAGCATAAATTAATGCATATCTCGATTCGCCTTTAACGGTTCATCAAACTCATTTTCTCGTTCAAACTTTTGATTGCAGCCATTAAATTACACATCTTATCGATAATGTCGTGTATTTGTGTATATTTCATGCTAATTGGAAGTCAAAGATATTCACTTGGTGATATGGAATAATTAATTGCGTATAATTTTTTTTATCGGTGAACCTGAAAACACGGGCTCTTATCCAACTGTTCCCCAACTCACTTAACGTCTCACTGATTAAGTTATATCTGTTGTGGCATCAGTTTGCCAGTGTGAGAGATCCCCCCCTTTTTGGCCAAGCCACATGTCGTATGCGCATTGTCATCATAACTTAGCCATTGTCCGGGAATCTGATGATGATATTTTTGCATAATTTCGTGGATGGGGGTGTTTGTGATGCAGTTTATTATTTAAATAACGTGACTAAATTTACGTAGTGCTGCAGGGTAAGCAAACGAGAAATAACAATAGGAAATGCAAGAAAAGCGGACAGTTAAATAATAATAGCCGACGTTGGTTTGCATATGCAAAGTGAGACCAGACAATTTTCGCATGATAAATCGTTAAAAGAATATGAAAAAGCGCGAACTGTAACTGAAATAAAACACACACACACACACAGAGAGAGAGGGAGAGAAGGAGTGAGAAGAAAGGGCACCCCAGATGCTGCTCACCTGCCCCTTTTGTTTATGAAAAAAAAAGCTTCGCAAAATTGGCGCTACGTACGTGCCAAAGAATTTCATGGTCTGGCAACTTAATACAGGTGCTTCTGTATCTGTATCTTCTATCCAAAAATGCCCAAGCAGCAGTAGACCCCGTGCCGTTCAGGGTTCCATTTTCATGCACATGTGTGTATGGATGAGTGTTTGTGTGTGTGGGGGTTCCATTCATCATGGGTGTGTGTGTGTGTATGTGTGTTTGTTTTTGGACCGGCGCTCACGTGTAAATTTTCTCAAATAAATCATTAAAAGCTGCGCCACAACCGCGCCGAGCAGAGCAAAGCCAGCACATTGACATTGTCGGAGCGCCTCCGCTCTTTTGAAATGGGCGCCTTTAATAATAATCAACGCAGGAGTGCTTATTGTAAGTGCTCAGGCGAGCCTGAGGCGCTCTCTCCCTCTCCCTTCTCTGTCTTTCTCTCTCTGGGGGCAACCTCTCTATTCATAGAATTGCACTTTGTATGCGCTATTCATAAAGCATACGCCCAGGCGCTTCGTCGTGCCATTGCACTCGACTTTGTATGCGTGTGTGTGTGCGAGTGTGTGCGAGTGTTTTTGTATGGGTTAGTTAGTGGCACTTTACGCGCTAAAGTTTATACATAAATTTGTCATTGGCATTCAGTTACCTGGCTGTGCATACTTCAGCGCATTTTCTAAGCACAAGCAAACATTTGTCTATGGGCTTCTTTAGTTCTTCACTCATTCATATTCATCTACTATGTTTGAGTTTCTCATATTCACTTTTCAGCTTATTTCTTTGACTTTTCTTTATTCAGCATCAGCTTGAATGTGTCTTTTTTTCGGTTTTTAATGTAATCTGCGAATTTTTATATAGCTTTTTTACACCAGCGGTTTAGAAAAAAAGAACTTGTTTGGCCATGGGCTGTTTTTAAATAAAAGTCTGGATGTAGAGCTTAGCAGTTCTCTATAGATGATCCAAAGGTATGCTTTGAAGTCGTCTGTAGTGAAGTAAAATAAGCTATCATTTATTCAATATCCGAATACGAATATCAGGTTGGGATATGCCAAAAAAACTATTTTAATGGTATTCCAAACGTATGTATTGAAGCATATTGATGAGATCTTATCCATATATACAAAACTGCTTATTGACTGCCTTATTGACTGCCTTACTGGATGGTTGATGATCAATCCACAAACTAAAAAGCAAGGGCCGAAAATCAGATTTTTATTTAATTGTAGTTATATGCACATTATTTTTAGAGCTTTTAAATATCTTTCAAAATATCTCACCTATTCTTTACTTCTTATGCCCCTCTAGTGTTGTGTTAAAATGTTATTGCCTCCTACTAATAAATGGCAATATGTATTTGGATTTTTCGGTAAGTACGTATTTGCATACATTTTGTATTTATATATAAGATTAAATAATATGTCCAGTACAAGGCCTTTTCAATGATATAAGTATTAACAATTAAATACTTGTGATATTTGGTTCAGAATAATATATATTTATTGAAGAAATTTCGAATATTTATCACATCGGCTCGGCGCTGATATCTCATAATTACTCAGCATTTTCATATAATATTGTCTCTGAAACTCCTATGAACTGTTGTTATAAATCTTTTAACTGAATTTGTCCCAGCTTGCACCCCAGGTGTGGGCTTAAAGCCTTATAATCTTTGATTTTAGTCAATGTAAGCATTAGCGGGCTTAAGATCCATAGCTAAAAAGGCTTATCAAGCCGGAAATGGGTTTCCCTCAGAATATTAAGCAGTTCCCAAAGAGGATTTTCTCAACTGCAAGCTACTGTCAATATAGGTTCCCATGAGCAAATCTTTTGTAAACTGCAAATGCCTTATAAAGGGCGTGA